ACCTTGGATGAATTTTCGGTCTTTGTAGGCACACGGAGAGTCCTCCTTTGAATTTGTCTACAAGTTCGCCACTATGGGTTAAATAGGTGAACTTATGCCTGGGTCATTAATTAGTCATGTAACTTTCCCTTAAACCTGAAGCAATTGGTCTCTAAGCGAAGTTTGGGGGCTTGTATGATGTCACTAGTGCTTAGCTGATATCCTCTTGTCAAGGTCGTGTTTGAGTTTAGTAAAGTGAAAATAATATTTTGGCTGACGAAAATTGGAATGTCAGTATATAAAAGACCGATGTCGTGACTTACCATAACTCCATCTTCTCCGATTTCAAGTGAAGAAATTTGGGGTTAAAGGCCAAGTGGGCTCATCACTGTGTATACCGTATGTTTTTGTAGTGGTTTATTTATTTAGGCCAAATATTTAGGCTTTAGGTTTAATCACCGGCATATTTCCAATAAGAAACGCAGTGGTTTTCAGTTTCTCCCATAAAATAGACTAAAATTACTGTGCGTATATTTCCAGAATTCTACAGTTTTGAAATTGAAGTGTTCAATTTCATCAAACTTACATTGTACTTACCAATTACTCTGTTATTCGAGTTTGAAGGGAGTCCTTGAATACGTACCGCTTACCATAAATACGTTGCTACGTGCGTGAGTGGCTCTTGTGATGTTGGCATGCAACTTCGTCGTTATTTCCATATTGTTTTGCATTTTCCCTGTTTGAAACTTCTGGAACTATACGTTTTAGTCTTTGAAAATGCTGAACTAAGATTTTTATTAAGATAGTCTACAAAATGCAGTTACAATATCAATAACCTCATTCTCAAGTGTTTTAATCAGGAGAGTAGGAGAGTATCCTGTATTGACCGGAGGAGTAAAACGAACCAAAAGTATCCTGCCTCGCAACCTATACGCAAGAGTCCAAAAGCTTTCCTTACACTTACCTGAGAGATATCGTATAGTGGAGTGGATATTTGTGATTGCTGTTGAACTTTCTGCTAATATGAGAGACAACATTATTGCTGAACCGTACTCCCCCTGAATAGTTGTATCGATTGAATGCCAGAATATCATAGCACTGTAGTTAATATTCATGTTCCAGTCAGTTGCAAGATTGTCGTAGGATCTGTGGGGTACACTTAATAAGCCTTCCTCCGTTCATACTTTTTTCATGGGGGTCAGTCTACTGAACGTTGCTTCGTAATATGCGTTTATACTAACTTCATACACCTAAATAATGAATGGAGTTGAAGGAAATAGAATTTCAAACTTCATGTTGTATGAATAGCAAATTGACTTTTCAGTTAGTTGTACTTCGTGGATGCTGGTTGAATACTGTAATTAAGATTTTGGATTGATTCCACTTGGTTGCTGCCTACAAGACAGCCCAATTTGGATATTTACGAGAAATCATGTGTCACATGGTTTCCTTGAGTGAACTTGCGAAGGGATTATTACAAGTCATATCAATCCGTAAATATAAGTCTGAGATGATCAGTACATTTAGCTAAACTACGCCTTGGTCACTGTTTTAGTCTCATATTATATATGCATATCCGTCCTGTACCTTCAAGGGCCATGTTTCACAGCCTTACAGTAGAAGAGTGAACTGCAGTCCAGTGCTGTGATTTCGTCGGCTACTTACTCATTTGGGCTGATCCGACTTCCTAGGCAAGTGAAGTTTTCAACTCACTCAACCACTTCACTCCCTGTTGTTTGACAGGATACCAGCTGAGACCAGCTCTGGAGCAACAATTTGGATTTCGGGTGGCGAGACAGGTATACCAAACATTCTCAAATTGCCACTCAACGTGACGAGAAGGGTTTTCAACTAACAGGACTATGCCGTCTACGTATTCCAGATCTACCGAAGAGTCCCTTGTGATAAGGTCAATCCCTGTGAAGTCAGACCATATACACAGCTCACCTGACAACTCACAATAGGCTGTAACACATGTTCGAGTATAGGGTGTTCAACATATCTATGTACTTATTCGGTACCCCTTCAAGTGAGAGACCTTTCCATAAGACCTCTTTATTGACGGAGTCGAATGCCACCTTCATGATAAGAAATACAGCTAGTATTGAGCTTTGGTAATTGTGGCTGTGTTCCAGAACCTGGCGGAGTGTGAATATCTGGCCGACACATCCACGGTCAGGTCTGAGGCCTGCCTGGTTTCCTCGTGCTTGCTATTTCCGAGCTCCACTGAGACGTCTAGTGATTATGGAACTTAGAATCGTAGACAATATATTCATCAGGCTTATTTCCCTGTATTTATCTTAAAACAACTTTTCATCTTTCTTTCAGACTGGGATAATTAGTGATTTGAAATGATCGTACCTGTCTGCCGTACACTAGTTAACGTTTCAGTTAATCTGACATTAACCACCATCTCTGAATATTTCTTGAACCATTTCCTCTGGTCCTACTGCTCTTTTTCGTCCCATTGTTGGAGCTCCTATCTGCATGTTTCATCCAGGCTCTGACAATACCGGTCAATAGAATAATAGCTGGAGACCAATCAAACTGTTCCTTGAAGTGTCTCGATCACCATTCCAGCCGCCTCCTTCACGAGCGAATTGCTCACTCATCTTTGTCCGCAATAGTCTCACTAATCACTGGCCTTTTCGCTCCAGTTTCCTTGATAAGTCTTACGGATACTTATGGCCGCTGCCTTTTCCATCTCTTTAGCCTTCACTGTTCACCATTGTTCGCGCTGATTGCGCTCATTGTGCTGAAAGCCTGCAGGAATGCTTTCGCATGCATCCATTAATTCAGAAAAAGCCGCTGAGATCTACTGGCTCTTTCTAACCGCTTTGTTTCTTACAGTAGACTGAAGATGGTGCTAAGCTTCTCCCGGATGAGTGCTGTCGTTCTGTTTGGACAACTTCCAAGCCAGTTTCTCACTGTTGAGCTGTGCTGGCAATGTTCTTGTTATAATTTTTCTACATCCATTTAAATGCAGATGTATATTCACTCTAACCAACTCATGGTCTCTGCCTAAAAATGTGCACCAGAAGGAGCGGTAATCTTTAACCGACCTCCAGAGATATTTTGTAGCAATATGACCTACCTATGTCCACCACTGACATAGATAATGTCTTCCTTGATGTCTGAAGTTCGTACTGGCAAGCAGTGGACCTTTATCTGAACACAGTTGTAGTAGCTGATCATTGTTATCTATTCTTTCGGCTGGGCCTAAAAAAGCGCCACCTAGGTGTCTTCCTCTCAGGCTTAGCCTACCCATCTTCAAATTGAAATAACGTACTGCGAAAGCCACGTCTAAACGTTTGGCTGTCAGTAGAAGGCTAGACAGCTTTCGGTAGAACTCACCCTTCACTTCATCCGAGTTACAGTCAGTAGATGCGTAATCAGAGATCACAAACAGACGGCAGCAAGTTTCATTAGTCTTTTTGGTACTCATTTTGCTTTTTAGTCGAACAGCGCGTAGGCGATTTTCATCTGGGATCCAGTCTTGCAGTGTACTATCTGCTTTAAGAACCAGAGCTATACTTACGCCCACAAGATTACGAAAACTAGTCATCGAATCTCCGGGAGCTCGAAGGGTGAATTTTGCCGATTCATCATTTTGGCCGGATGAAGTTAAGTGAATAACCGCACTCCCGTCTTGTGTATGCGTCGCGAAAACAACTCACATCCGTGACCCGAGATACCAGAGTTGTAGTGGACAATGACCTGAGGGAACTTGAATGCTGAGAGTTGTGAGGATCGTTGATACTTCTTGGCTAGCCACATCCTGGAAGGCTATTTCTTTTTGAGGTACCTAAGAAAGAAATGCTAGTGCATGGCCGCAAACCCTAACAGACATTTTTTAGGCCAGTCAAACAGGATCTTTTTGAAAGTTTGAGATTTAGGTTAGTCAGTTTTGAAGCAAACTATGAACTTAAGTCACCGGCACCGGCATACCATGGGGTAGTGGGAGTGTGACATTTCTAGTGCCGGCCTTTCTTAATACTTCTGTTCCTATTGGAAAGGCAGCATCAGCATCGCACAGCTACTCATCCAAGACAACACGTTACTGTTGTCGAAACCCCCGTTTTATCCTGCAATACAACTTCGCTTTTGAATCTCCATCATAGCGTAAAAACTGACAATATAACGGTAACTACTTTTTGTCTGACCACTATCCAAAAACTTTTCTGGTATAGTAGGACCTCGAGGGAACAAGCTTTCCACCTGCTGGTTCGTTGAATTATTGTGATATGCATGTCAGACCACCACATCAAGGTAGCAGCTATCGGTTTGGTTTTGCCTCGATAACTGGTACTAATCAAGGAACGCAAGCCTATCGTTGAAATTTTGAACCCTTATTGACTAAGATGGTCAAGACATATGTTGTGCATTTCAAGCCCTCACTTTCCTTGACAAACCATTTAAGCTGAAATGCGGAGGTTGAAAGTAAGCTAAAGGTTGCTAGACTAAAACTTTTCACTAACTTTGGACGTCTCCAATTGTCAGTCTTGGCTGTTTAACTTGTTGCCTGTTTGGGTTTGATTTTGGAGGTGATAAGAATCAGCAGTTGGCCACTCTTGGTTATGTGATCAGAAATCAATGCCAAACGGGGCTATTTTCACAAGTTTTTCTTCGTCAAACTTATGAACATTTTATTATCTTCTGTTGAGTTCCTATTCAATCATGCACTTGTTTACGCTAATATAAGTTTTTTCTCCGAATTGTTTTGTTATTATGGTGTTAAACTAATGTACTTTTGTTCGAGGATGTACCTGGACTTATTTGTCTGACCCCGTCAGTACATGTAATCGCAGTGACAACAATGCTTTTTGGGCAAAGGAAGCTTTGTAGTGTAGATCATACTCTCTTGTGTACCATCTACAAACTTAAGTGTTCATTATTTTTTGCTTGCGCAGCTTTGGTTCACAGTCGTTTTCATTTTTTTTTATTATCTTGCAGACTGCGGATTCTTGTTTGGACAATCGCTACCTGCTGTTACCTTTTGAATACGTATAACAATATAAAACATGCATGGGAGAGTTAAGGTTATACAAACAGTTGAACAGGAACGCGCCAAGAAGCTGAAAAAGGATCGCATTTGCAAAGAATTTTCTGAAGGATGTGAAAAGCTCTGGGTCTGTCGTGAAAATGGGGATTTTAGTGAAGCACAGTTAAAGCAGATTGCTTCTCTCATAGAGTTATCCGCAGACACGACCACACTATGGAATTATAGACGTGAAGTACTGCTACACCTTATGGAAAAGTATTCCGAAGATTCGAAAGAACTTTCGAAATTACTGGAATCCGAACTAGATTTAACCACCCACTGTCTCTATAACTCACCGAAATCTTATGCCGTTTGGTACCATCGCTCCTGGATTATGAATAATCACCCCACTCCGAATTGGGAATCTGAAGTCAAGTTTTGCAACACAGCTTTAAAAATAGACGAGAGGAATTTCCATTGTTGGGATTATCGTCGTTTTGTTGTATCTAAGGGACGAATTTCAACGGAGCTAGAGCTGGAGTTTACTGATACTGCTGTAGAGAGAAACATGAGTAATTATTCGGCATGGCACTACCGTGGGGAACTTCTAGTTTCGTCATCTAGTGCTTCTGGTGTTTCATCTCCTTTAAGTCCACCGCCTAATATACATGCTGATAAAGCTTTCAGTCGACGACAACTTGACTTTTCGGTACCAAATGAGGAGTTAGATCTTGTTCACAATGCAATATATACAGATCCAGCTGATCAGAGTCCTTGGTTCTATTATTGGTGGCTGCTGGGTCGTGGAGAAAGGAAAGTTTATCTCAGAGAGTTGTACATTTCTCGTCAGTTGGGAAGATTTGTGCTTGTATTCAGTTCTGCGAAGCTAATTCAAGCTGTTGAGCAGTTGCAAGTTTCTTTAAAAGTGTTCCCTTGCGACAGCAATATTTCTCACGCCATAACTTTGACACCTGAACTTTTAGGTGGATGGAACCCTGTTTTAGATGAGCAGTTGTCAGCTGTTTGGTGGTTGCCACTTAATCAAGATCTCATCTGTCGTTATGCTCCTGAGACTGATAAACATCTCTACTATTCTCGTCCTTGGAATGTCGTTGCCCATGTATGCTTCCGGAGAGGTAATGTTGATGAACAAAATGAGGTTTGGGAAAATAAATGTGAAAATTCTGGTCGTTATTTCTGCCTGCAGTGTTGCATGGATTCTCATCAAAATGAGTCGTTGACACGCGTTGCTCTAGATCCCTTGAGGTTGTTAAACCCTATGATCTTACCCAAACACGACCCGGAAAATTTAGTGACAGAACTGGATACTGTTCGGGACTTATTATCCCTGGAACCAAAGAATAAGTGGGCTTTGTTGACGTATGTTAGCCTTCTTCGCTTTATTAGACCACATGGCTTCAATGAAGAAGTGGATAAATCTTTGGATAAATTAGTGTTGGTCGATCCTCAACGTTCTTCTTATTATGAACATTTGCGATCTTTGTATGCTGCTATGGATGTTCTTGCTCGTGTATATGAAGATCAATCCAGAGAAGTAGTGCTACACAATTTAGATATGCGTTGTTTTCATAATCTTGATTGGTACACGTTAATGACCAAAATAGACTTTTCCAACAACTCAATAGTACGAATCCCGGATACTTTCGCATACCTTATTTGCCTTTTGGAGTTGAATTTAGATGATAACCAACTGATAACTCTTCGTGGAATTTCTCGCCTACCATCTTTAACCAACCTTTCTGTTCAGCGCAACCGACTATGCGATTTTGAGTCGATTGAAGATTTGGTTCGTTGCCCTTGCCTTCGCACAGTGTACATAAGTGGGAACGAAGTAGTCAAGTTATCTGACTTGACTAATTTGATATCACAACACCCTGAGTTTCAAAGACAGGGGCATTCATTCTCTTTGGTGTATGACAAAACAGTTCACTCTTGACACCAAATTGTTGTGCAGAATATCTAGGTCAACAAGCATAATTAACTTTATTTTCATATTTTTGACCTTGTTATGTGATATCTTGCTATTTGTAAATCTTCATGTCTTTACAATAAATATATCAAAATTAACAAAAGTGTAGTTGGTTATATGTTGATTTCGTTTTTGGAGAAAGTAATCTTTGTGGGTTATGAGGACTTAGGATTCCGATTTATTTATAAATTAATATTGTTGGTCACAGGTTTACTTAAACATTCTCCATTTACCAAATTTACTGATTTGGCGTTGAGAGGAAGTTACTTCATCAAACATAATGAATACGAGGCTGTAAACCAAGAAATCGTCTTACTATCAAATATGTGGCGTTCTGAATAGTCAACAAATAATTTTTAACGTTTTCTTTCTCTATGTTGTTCACTTGTACCAGCTGTGTATTGTTAAAGTTTATAATTCTTCTCCATACTGAATATTTATATGGATTTTCTATGTATCGTACTACTACTAGATATTTAAAAATGCTTGCCACTTGAGAAAATCGTTCACTTCCCACTCATTTTTTATCAAAATAGAAAGTTGATGTGTCGCGGAATGTGTACAATGGCTGTTGATTTTGATATGACTTTGCTGATAAACTTTTTTATTTCTAAAGTTCACTATTGTAAGAAGTTCACTTTTATTTTTTTCTATTCGTATTTCTCACGGTACTACCTTATTTAATCATGACTGCCTTACCTGATTTTATGCTTCTATTTTGTTTGTCATGTATTTATATTTCTGGATAAATGCTACTCTCCTACTTGACATATAGAAAAATTTGATATTGCCTTTACTGGCAGAAAACTGTTCCAAATTTTCACTTCTGCAGGCAAATTAAGACTTGTTTTAATACCTACCTTGTTTGTTGTATTATCTTTTATGAAATTTTTGGTGGTCTAACCTTTTTACCCCAACGTTACCCATGTAACTCATTGTACTTGAATAAAGATTACCGCTCCTTGGATAACGCACCTTGGAAAGGTCTCCAAACCATTCAATAGCTTTTTATTGTACATATTACTTTTATCATTTGTTTTATAAGGCAGTTGTTAACATGTTTGTTTATTGTTCTAGGTAAACGTTACATAACATCATACTTATAAGTATCCAATCGTCTCTTACAGTTTATCTTCTATAACTGACTTATGCTTTGGTAATCTCGTTACTTTTGTCATCAAGCTTTCTTCTGAGGTTATACAAGATATATTCTTACTCGATTGTAACTTATTGTTTTGATTTCAATTTGTTTACTTGAAATTCATTCCACAATTTGAATAAATGACTGTTATTAATGTTGTTTATTATGCTTCGTTCTATGAATTTTTTATTGTAGAGAGGAATCAGTTAACTGAACAGAAATCTTTATTCGAGTCACATTCAGTCTACTGGGATGTTCGTCATATTCTTTACTTTTTAGCGAACAAGAGGTAATAATTTGTTATATAAGTTGATTTTCAATGGCTGTTGGAACCTTTTTTTGTCACTTACTAGTTCTGCAGAATTTATAATTCGCCTATATACCACTTTCAACTTTACTCGTCTTTTAGCTTTCCCACCTCTCTGTTTACATTTTCTGTCTACATTGGAGTTTTTGGCTACTTAGCTTTTCAGGATTACATGTTTTTTTACCATCTTTTCCACCCATCCAGAGACAACGAAATATACAGCCTATGAGATATTGTATCGATTCAAGGCACTGTCCTAATTCATAAAAATGAAACAAGTAGAACACAAATGGAGTGGGAATAAGTCAATGAAGAGTAATAAGGCATTCGATATTTCAAGTTAGTAAATGAATGAACAGGTGTACGTTCCTGAAATTTGTTGTGTAGGCTACTCAACATTTTCTACCGTTTTTGCTTGTATTGCCGTATAATTCCAAGCTAGGTCAATAGTTAATGATTATGAACTAATACCCTACCCCAATAGTTTCATTTGTCGAAATCCGCGTAAAGGAGAATAGTGGTATACAGGCGTTTTACTTTTCTGTTACATTATGGAGTTGTCATTTCAGGGATGAATCAGCGGTATTATGTAGTGAAGTTTTGGTGAATCAATTTGAACACCATACTACCAAGCAGTAGATCATGAACTTGACTCTTGACCCACATATTGAGGTTGTCTAGTAGTTTTATCAGTCGTCATAAAATAGATATCGTTTGTCGCCTAGTAGATAGGTATGTATGTGCTTACTGGGTTGCATTTATTCTTTGTATCACTGATATCCAAGAAAGAATGGCAAGTTTATTTCCCTTATTGGCAGTTATTGTTGAATAAAGTGCAATGGAACTAAATTATTTAGTGCGAGATTATGACATATTGTGAGAACGTTGAGTGATCATTCGCACTTTGTGCACCCGTATTGTTACACAGCAGGATTAGACTTCATTCTCTAGGCTTTAAAAAGCTTGAATTCCTGTTTAGTTACCTTATAAACTAATTTATAGTTTTTATCAAAATGGAAATCACAACTAATATGTCTCTGATATACTCTTGTGACTCACATGAATTTTGATATCCGAAATGTTGACATTTGTTGCTAATCAGTGATTAGTTTGAAAGCAGCGTGCTGTGTTCTTTAGCGGTCGTCTTATGTGTCAAGTTAACTAGGTACCTACCAATATGTTAAGTGATAAGTGTTTCTATCAGTTGACTTAGTGACCACATTTCCATTCTGGTCCAGTAAATTCAGTTGACTCCACAGAGGATGACATAAGTCACTACTAAGCTGCATTTCAAAGCATATTAACTATCAGAATTGATGGACTTTTTTCCTTCATGTCATGCAGTGAGTGACTTGCATTGTATAGTATCGCCCAAATTTCACTGCCTGCTACATCAAAGGATCTGAAGTGCTTCACTTAGGAGACGTAAATGTGTGCAATTTCTTTTAGTATCCACCTGGTTTCTATTGGTGTTGAAAAATATAAATGGTAGATTAAACTAGTCTTATCTAATCTTGTGTGGTAAAATTAAATATGGATTTCGTAACTTTTCATTTAAATATAATTATGGATAATTAGATTCGCATGTTTTTGAGCTAGTATAAGAGGAAACTAAGTATATTTCTTCAAAACTGGTCTGCAACTACTCCCAATTTACCACTAGGGAGTCAAGTGGTGGAATGCGTCGACCACTTCATTTACTTGGGGAGTCTCATCATCTTGGGCTAGTGGCTGACGAAATCTCAGCTCGGGTACATAAGGCCAACTTGCGTCATCTCTGGCCCCGACTGTCAATATGTCTGACCATCTACTAAAGGACGAGTATATTGTACTTCATTTCATTCTATCCTGTTATACGGCAGTAAAATATGGCCGTTAGAAGTAAAGTTGAAGCGGTTGAAAGTCTTTGATCATAGATCTCTTCGTAGCAGTGCTCGAGTATGGTGGAACCACTCTATGAGCAATTACAAGGCTAGGTTAAGAGTACCAAGCAAGACAAACAAATTGGTCGACGAGGCTGTTAACCTTTACCTAACGAGGTTCCTTGAACATGTGTTGCGCGTGTCTAGCTACTGCCTTCCTCGATGTGCATTGTTAAAGGGAGTTGGATTAAGTTGGAAGAGGGTTCAGCGTGATCAGGCCAAGACGTGGCACCAGTCGATGGCTGTTGGTCTGAGACTTGTGGGGAGATTTAGACTACCTGGCTGGGGTCCTCGAGACGAAGCGAATCAGTAGTTGAGGATTCTTGGTAACATGGCTGGAAGTCGATCATAATGGAGCAGATCTTTGATACCTTCGAAAGCTTGATTGTTTTGACCAACCTTCATTATTAAATTCGTTCTCTTCCCATACGTCTTTGTCTACTTTGATATCATTCTTGTTCTGTCCGCTCATTCTTTGCCTGCTACTGGGAGGTGTGGCAACTTAAACGGATGCTCTTTTATGCTAGGTTCTGCTTTGATTTAGTCTGCCCGCGTAAAGAAAAAAAGGTGCACTGTAGAGCTATAAAGTGTATCTTGAATTGAGCGATTTCGATTGATTTCCTTCTTCAACAAAGTGTCTTAATACATATTTGTTTGTATAAAACATTGAACGGTATGTAAGTTATTACCACTGATTGCAAATCCTCTGGTCACACATGACTTATTTGCTTTTGGAGAACTGGCGAATTACAAGATTGACAGATTTAATTAAAAAAAACACACTGGAGGTACATCATTAGTTGTAAACTTAAGTATGAAAAGGTTAATAATTCTGATTTAAGTTTTACAGTCGATTGTGTGAACTAGATGTTGTTGTGCATATTTAAGTTATAGCAGTAATATGCTCATATATGATATACCCCATAGACACATAAAAGTCAATTGACTGAAGTTAGAAATGCGAAGTCATTTATATAGTATTTGAAATACAACAAAATTCATTATGCAGTGATTTTCTGTATGAAAGTATATCTTCTCGTGAATACATTAAACGCTCCTTTAAAAAGTAATAATTAACGGGGTCAAATGTATCTCTGTCATTTCACTTTTTTGTCTTTAAAGCTGAAGTTTTCAATAGTTTGGTTTTCATTTACAGAGACTTAGGTTCGTATCACCCCCTTCCTACCAAGGGTAAAACAGTCCAGTAGTCGTTGGTTATCATACCACAAGCAGACTATAACGTCCTTTATGTGTCTGTAAGTAATCGCTGAGATGTACTATATTTGATAAAGCTTACTTATAAGATTCACCTAGCTTTGTTGTCTTACTTAACTTCTTACAATCTACTTTGAATGCATGCTGTCTAGATAAATATGCTGAATAAGATTCATCTGAACTTCCTTTACTTAACAGTCCTAACTGTATTTGGAAATGCTACTAAGTAGCTACTTGAAAGTTTATGTACTAATCTGGGTCACTTGTTTTACATAAAATCAATGAATCAAACCTAACCAGGGTAGGATGAAATGAGGTTTGAAAAGACAACTACATAGTTGGTAGTAAGTCACTAACAATATTCATAGACAGAAAATCCTGCGGTAACATTTTGAAAACAATAGGTTTCCTGTTTGTAAACTTGTCTGCTAGTAAATGGTATGTGTATCCAACGTTTATTTTTTAAACAAAGTCATTATAACTCTATTTGACAACTGTATTTGAAAGACGAAAGTGGTTGAATTGTATACATATACTTAGTTTTTTTATTTATACTTATATGGTTTTCATTCATGTAGAAGCATACACTTTTCCAGGTCTTGCTGCCACTAATAATGATGTTAACATGAAAGCTAAGCTATGCATTGTACACTGTGGCACCTGAAGTTTAACAGGTATTGACAAACCTTTATGGTACTAGTGAACTTGTAACCGTGGTTTGTCAATAATTTGTGGATGTAATTTAGCCGGAGAAATGTTATTTTCCAGCCTGATGTAGTTACTAATGGACTATTTCTTTCGGGCTGCACCATGCAGTTAATTTTTAATTCTATATAAATCAAGGCTCTCAGTTTTGGTTGATAAGTGCTGAGGCGTATAGTTTGTCTAGTCTATTTTGTTACGACCTTTCCTAAGAACTAACACGAATCTAGAGGGATTGCTTAGTTGGGTTTCGCATAGCAAATACATCAGTATCATGAATGGTGTCTTTTGACGTATATATATATATATATATATATATATATATATATATATATATATATATATATATATATATATATATATATATATATATTTCTTGTAGATCATCTCAACTCACAAAAGTTATAAGATGCTTCACTTAAAAAAATGAAATATCTTTCAGATGTATGTTTCCATGTATATAAAATTTCTGTAATTTTTTTCTAGACGAAAGATGGCTGATGAGGACACAAAAAATAATGTGGAAGGTTGTTGTAGGTATAGTACAAGTAAAGCTGGTATGGAAGGCTTGGACAAGGCTACAATTATGGAAATTATACTGGAAAATTCTAAAGGTACATTTTGAATATATATATACATATATATATTAAATGAAAGAAAATCAGAATCATATAAATTTATCTAAAAACGTGTAATTCTTTCCTTGTATTTTATTTTATATTATTTATTGATTCCAACATTATTCTCTTCGTTTGTAATTCATCATTTCTTTTTTTCTTTTGTTGACCGCTTCAGTGTATTGTAAAAATTAAGGTGCGTGTTCCTCAAAATAAACTGCGATTGGTTACTAGGCGACGGGTAGTATTCATCGCTTTTTGACATCACTTCGAGAATCATCGAGAAATTTGGAGCACTGGACAGTTGTTTCGTCCTAACATTGGACACCTCAACAATGATCCCGCCGAGGGTTGAACCTAGTATCTTCAGGTTTCTCGGTGAGCGAGTTGCCATTGAACCACTGGGTCGGAATCCAACGGTCTATATTTTCCTGCTTCTTTAGATTTACGATATAGCGTGACCTACATCCAATGCTATCGTCGAGTATTTTTTCACAGGTCCGAATTGGCTTGCCCTACAGGTCACGACTTCTCATTGAAACTTGAAGAAATCTCATCTCGAAACTTCCCGCTAGTGAGTACTGGACAGTCACTTAGTCTGGAGGTTTGTGGGAATTTATTAATTTCAAGGTGGTATTCGTCACGGACTGACATCAGCTGGAGAACCAATGTTTTATTAGATATACAACACAGTGAAACAGTAATATTTACTAGGAAACGTTTCGGAGACAATTTATTGTTTACATGATTGTCATCTTTATATGGTTACAGGCATCATTTTACGAAAAAATGAAAACGTGGAGACACTGGACTTATGTTTCTTCTTTTTCTGGACTTCTCCGTAGTATATACCCATGACCATATGAAGGATCAAGCTAACACTAGTCAACGTTTGCACCGTACACGTTACCATTCATCTACTGGACGTCCGTCTCACTCTCGACTTGCTGTACTCTGTAGACCACAACTTCTCATTAAAAGTTCGACAAATTCACTTCAAGTTCATGTTAATAATGCGCAGTAGACCAAGTTAGTGGGGATTGATTTATTTCAAGGTAGTATTCATCATGGAATAAACAGTCCAGTACTTAAACTAAACGGCTTACCAGTGCTCCCAGGTTTTTGAACGGTTTTGTAAATGATATCAGTGAAACTGTTCGTGTTCAGCGATCCAATTTGACGTCAGAAAAACAATTCCACTTCTATGAGAAATTGTAATTTCGTGTAAAGACAGTTTATGAGATAACCATAACAGAGTCGATCTAACTTTCACCTTTATATACACTTTTTCGCAGTGTTGTTTGTAGGCGTATCTCTACATTGATGTGGTTGTTTTCTCCACTGAATGCATATAAATCACAGAGATGGTTCAATTGTCGTAAAAGATTAATGGAAGAGAAATGATTTTTCATTTCAAAAAGTTGGAAGCAAACAGATTATTTGGTTTTCTATTTCCAAGTTATGAATATGTGTTTATTGTTGTGCACAAATTTTAAATAATGAGAGTTTATGAAGTCTCAGATCTAATCTTTATTGATAAAAGTTTTACTGAACTTGAAATCGAGGGAAGTTATGATAATATGGGTTCCCAATTCAGACACCGCTCCACCTAATTTGTCCTAGGAAACTGAATAACGTCATAAACACTTACTCAATAAGTGTGGTTCATAGCCTAGTATGTAAAAACCTTGCATAAAGTGACTAATTGGGACTATATGATCTATTTTCATAACATCTGATATTTTCGGGATAAAGGTTACCGCAAGAAAATAGAAACTTAAATGATTAAGACATCAAACTCCTGCAAATCTGATATCTGGTGTCGCTTGCCTTATTGTATTCCAGCTACTTATAGATCAGAATAATTCACTGAAATGGTACATCAGTAACTCGATTGATGATGATAGTGGTTGAAGATGCATGTACTTACAAAACTTTAAAGCTTAACCTTGAGAATAAGCCTTTGAGGATTTACGTTTCGTGGAATTAAGTTCTGGCTTCAGTTCGTAGTTTGAACACTTTAACATAGTGGTTTAAAACGAAGAACAGCTTGAATCGGAATACTACTAGGACTACTAAAGTGATGACAGAGTAAATATCATGTACTGAGCAGATTAAACAGCGCGTTTTATGCTGACAACTTGATATGCATTTTATGCAAAACTGGTTTCACAAGCAGGTCGTAGGATAGTTAAAAAGAAACGTCGAGTTGATTTATTGAGTTCACTAATAGCCTTTTTGTTACCAGTACCAGAAACTGACGGCTATATTCTTAAGTTAAGTAAAGATGGAAAGTACACTAAAGTAAAAAAACATTCTTCAGTTAGTACTTACGTTAAGAAAGTGATGGCCTTGACTTAACTTCTAGGTACTATTTTGATGATATGAATAAACTATGACTCATCGCTGAACGTAAATGTGATTTCTGGAAATCAACGTTTTGTTTCTTTTCTTTATCATCTTCATTGGTTTATTTTGTTTCATCTCAATTCTACTGTTATCTGAAATAAAGCTGCTTACACTTTTACAATTTATTTCCTCAATGTCTTCAGTGTTACTTTCTGCATTATCTATTGGGTAACTTTCACTACTGCCATTATCTCATCTATTATCGTCTGGTATTTGTTTGATTACTGTTTATCATGCTTTCAGCACTGTCTTCACTTACATTTTAGTTTTTTTACAAACAGTGTTATAGATGAAACCGCTCTATCCGATGTTAACATCCGGGTAGTATCATTTTGCGATCATACACTACGTGGCTCGTAGTCTGATACATGAACCTTTTGGAGTAGATGAGTTGCAGATATATATATATATATATATATATATATATATATATATATATGTATATATATATATGTATATATATATATATATAATCTGCGCATAGTTGCATGACTGATGTCGCAAACGGAGCTAACGTTAAGTAATCAATTACCTATCACTATTCAGTTAGCAGATCCTATTCTCTTTAAAGCCATATATTGTTACCTAAGTATGCTTTGTTTTCTTTACGGTTGCTTACTAAGACTTTGCTAATTCTCTTAGCATAAGCAATTAACGAGTCAAACGATGAATAATATTTAGTGTTTCTAGGTTTCAGGGGGAATTGAACTCGCTTCTGTTGAAACAGTCATACTATTGTACGTCTAGAAATCTTTTCTGTGTTCAACACACTATTCTTAACAGCAAGATCTTATAACAAGTCATTTTCTCAGTTTGACCATCTGCGGCTTAGCAAAGAATGTTCATTAAGTACAGCTCAGAATGGCATGGAAAAAAAATTCGGATTGCAACATTATGCAAACTAAAGGTCATTAAGTCGCTGATTGGGTACGTTTTTGAGTAAGCCATGGAACTCTACTGTGAATGAGGTCATACTTCTGCTTCACTCATCAGCTGTTTCGCCCAGCTATCTTGTGAGTACGAAATACGCAGTTTCTCATTCTGTATTACGCCTGCTGACTAACCAGGCCTTTTTTTTTTGCCGAATCAGGCAGTATGTTTCACTTGAAATGTTGTATCATTCTGACTCAGGAATGTTCTGTATATTAGGAAACAAAAATTCAATTTAAACTATTCTTATATTGCACAATATGTTTAATCCTGATCCTCTGGTTCTCATTAGATGGCCACAGACTGGTTCATTGACTTAAATTGCTGCATGTCTTTATGATACAGAAAGAAAATATAAATCACAGAGGAAGAAAATGCTTAAATGAACCAAAATAAAAAATATGTGAAGAAAGATCAAAGCTGCATAGAATATTCTTTTGTTCGAAACCTGGAGGAAAGTAAAATGGGAATAAATTTTTGCCACTGGAATGTATTGACGCTTTGTCATGTAGCATATTCAGTCATTGACTTCTAACACCTCAAAGACTTCAGGAGTCAGTTCTTTACTTCTTCACACATCTCAAACTAAAAGTTATGGTTTTAATGGACACGCCTCATCCCGTAGTTCGGCTATCAAATCAATCTTACGTAAGCGATCACTAAACATCGAGTTAGGTATTGACTTCGCAGCAAACCAAGATGTGCAAACATGTTAATTGGTGCTTAAATGTGTACATCTAACTTCAGCATTACTAACTTGGCAATGCCAACAGATGGGTAAACACTCGTAACAAAATAAATCTTGTCTTCTTTCATCACCAACCTTTAGTGGTACTATCTCATATCTATGCTATAGAGTTGCTCTCTTGTTTAGATTTCTAAATATGAATCATCAGGTCACTGTTTTTAACATTCCTTCACCTATCAGGCTTTAGATCGTTGGATAGTATCTTTATTCCTCTAAACTGTGGGATTTTATCATGACGTAGTGTGCGATTCAACAAATAGTTACTAAATTGCTTTCCCTTATTCTCCTCATTTTTACTACTGAGTTTTGATACCTACCATTGTAGATAAGATATATAAATATAACTTAAAAGTAAACTTGTTTCCTATTATTTCTATTGTTTTATAAGGCTCCAAGTACTACGAAAATGAATTAAGAAGGGAACGAACTCTTCGTCAACAGGTGGAACAGAAGCTAAAAATTATAAAATCGCTGACTCCAGCCATGGTGAGAAGTGGTGAAATGGAGGTAAGCTATTTCCTAGTAATGTATACTGTATTATGTCATGTGCTGCCGTGGTGTGCAATATTTTGATAGTCGAAAACCATCCTGCGAATTCGGGGAAACTTGAACTCATACTGCAAATTTACTTAGATAAGCGGTCTCATTGCAAAATTTTGATCGACACAAAACGACATGCAGATAATGAAGTTATTTCTCACTTGCAGATTAGTGTACTCCCAATATATAACAGTCACAGTTGGTATTTCTGAGTAATAAGATGTCTGCTTGGAGTACTGCAGGACACCAATGCAAATGTGTAAAGAAATGCAGATCAAAACTATTTACGCTGGTTCTGAAAGGTATAAGTTTCTTTTTAGTAATCATGGATACCTTCTTCACAATTCTATCTTGTTGATACTACCCTAATACATCTTCCTTTTTTTGTTGATCTGTTAAGAAATATGGTGACTTGAAATACTCCTTGCCTGTGTTTTTGTACCAACTTCCCAACTCATTAGAGTGAACTGAATGAAAATTTACTAATGTTTAAGTTGCTTGTGAATATTTAACTTAATGTTCATGTGTATCATTAGTTCTCTTTTAAAAACAGTTGTTGACACCAATTATCAAGTATTTAAAACAAGACGCATAAAATCTGTAAATAACGTCTAAAAAATGGAACTGGGTATACTGTTTTGTTTGATGATGAATAATCTTTTTGTGAGACCAAAATACTGTACTACCTTTTCATGCAATGACCTTTTACAAACGAAAGCCAAGCTATCAAAAAGTAAGCCATAAATTAGATGAATTCCAATTTCTGAGCTAGCTTAAATTCTCATGAGATCACAGATATGCCTTTTTGAATGTTAATCAGCATAATAGCTGGTTGCATTTCGGCAACCATCTAGTATCACATACTGCCCATCATGATGTCAATTTGGTGGCGACATTACATAATTAACAGGCATGATTTAGTAACCACTGGAGACTAGACAACACGAATTGAGTTAATATAGTGTGGCTAGTTAGCGTAAACCTTTTTAACTTTATCATCACTACATAAAACCATTTTAGTTTTAAACAGTGCACTGTCTTATCCCCTGTATGAGAAATGTATTTTGACTTTCTAGTATCCTCAAGCAGATTTGTTTTATTGTGGTGATTCTCTGTGATTTTCTTCGTACTCAGGCAGTTAAAGCTGAAGTGATGGGTATGATTTTTGTAATAATTATCCGTTACACCTAGGCTACATTTCTTCGTTAGTGCTAAATATTAGCAATCTTGAATATCTGGGGTATGATGAATAATTGTAAATTAATCGTATGGATCACTGACTTCTAACCGTTGGGTCATTTATTGTAACCAGTTCCATGTACTTCAATTTTAGTAACTGAATGGTATATTAAGCTATCACACTTTAAGCATGGCTTTATGGCTTAGTACGCTAACATTTACCATGTTAATTATTCCTTATTTTTCACTCGTATTTCGCAGTCATTTACCTGGCTTCTGCATTATAACATATTCCTGTTTATCTGCCTCTGTATAGATGTTATTTTGAGCTCCCCGAAGTACTAACCCTCTTATATATTGGGCAAGCCAGTGCATTAAAGTAAACACTTCGAATGAATGATCAAAGTTTGCAACTCTTTACTTATCATTTCTGTCGACTACAGCTCTTTCAGAAATTGAATTCTGTCTTTACTTACTGTGGTTCTGTTAAACAGTATTCCACAATCTGTTAGTAGAAATGAGGAAAAGAGCTGTCGAAGTACTTTCTAAGGTTTAGTAACAGTATTACCCTCTATTTTGATTAAAATTGGTGATTTTGAATACATCTTTAACGTGTCTAGGACTTTTCATTCTTCGTACCATTTCTCGTTTAATTCATTTCACTATTAAGTAATTTGCCTGTATCACACAAATTATTCCTATTTTTTTGAAAAGGCAGATATTATACTCAAAGAATTAAAGCATGGAAGACGTTTTTCCCGGTTGATTGTACATGTAGATATGGATGCGTTTTATGCAGCAGTTGAAATACGTGATCAACCTGAACTTAGACATCATCCAGTGGCTGTTGGTAGTAATAGTATGTTGGTAAGTATTACATACTATCATAAGTTTATATCTTGTCTACACCAGGCTCATTTGAGATTTTGGAATTGATGAGACTTATTTTTGTTAGGGTCAGTGGTACTGGGCTTTTTCACTCGAATATTATAGTTGGCAAACACTGAAAAAAGTAACTTCTAACAATGTGATTAATTTAACTGAGATGATATAGCAAGGAGTTAATGCATTTCAAAGCTAACTTGTAAGACATCAGGTACATACGTCTTTGATCCCTCTACTAAACTCGGATAGTAATGGGAAGTAGCAGCAATACTGTGAGCAGAATGGCAAGAATTCGTTCTACTTCGTTATTTTAATATCAGCTGCTTACCGCCATTAGTACTTAAATATTACTTAAATAAACTTCAACATACGCTGGTGCAGTGAAGTTAAATTGGTTAACTGAAATAGTCATTGTATACCAAATAATACAAATATCCAAGTAGAATTCAGAAAATATACAAATGCTCTACTCAACCGAAAGTTGAAGAAAACTGACAACAGTAGTAACAAAATATTTAGGGATTTCAGACAGTGGATTATCAAAAGCGCACTCAAACTGATGCGTTGTCACAATTAAGCCACAAATTACATGGGATTACTGTATATCTGAGCTAAACTGAGTTGAAGTTCAAATTCGATGTGGATTGAAACAGTTAAATTTAATCTATGACAGACTCAGATGTGAAGAAGATATGAGAATTAAGCTACCAGGACAAAGAAAATCTAATAACTGTTCCCGTTCGTTATGTAAATCTGTTTCCTTCTTTTAGTTACTGTTCCCTCTACAATTGTAGAGTAAACTGAATAACTTTGTTCGTTAATTACCTTTAAAGATTTGACAGTTTCAGCTATTACTGAAAGTATTTGTTACCCTAAAATGGAAGCTTATAGATGCATGTACATAAGAACTAAGTTAGGCCTCCTCTTTGTTTCCCTCTGTTGCAACTATTTTTGCAAATATTACAAGTGATGTGCACACAGGTAATACGAAAAGGTTACCTGTTACCTTTGGATTGAAACAATGAATTCGTTTAGTACAACCGAATCAAGTTGACTACGATTATTATTATTTGTCCCTTGGGTTCCTAATGCAACATAGGGCTTCAGTAGCACGTCTCCAATGCGCTCTGTTCTCTGAAATCTTTTGAACGTCGCTCCACGACAGCCCACAAACTCTCATTTTCACCTCGCACGATCTCCTCCATATCACCCCCGTACGCCCAACTCGTCGCTTCCCATCTGGGTTCCGCTAGAGTGCCTGGCCTGGCACGTGATGTCCCCAGTCGGCCTTCTCAGTGTGTGCCCAATCCATCTCCACTTCCTTTCGTATATTTGTTGAGTGATAAGTTTTTGCTTGGTTCGTTGCCAGCCAGAGTTCCTTGTTGCTTATTCTTTCTAGCCATCTGATCTTGAGTATCGAATTAGCGTAGGCAGTTGTTGATGAATGTCTGTAGTTTGTTGGAAATCCCTTTCGTAGCGCGCCAAGTCTCTGAGCCATAGAGCAGCACTGACTTGATATTGGTGTTGAAAATCTGGATCTTGTTCCACACGCTGAGTGCAGAAGATCTCCACACTGGTTTCAGGCTAATGAACACCTCTCTTGCTTTTCCGATTTTGGCTGGCTTTGACATCCTCATCTGTGTCACCGCCTGAATTTGAAACGATGCTGCCTAGACAGGTCAAAAAGACTACTTCCTTCAGCTTGTTCCCGTTAATGGTGATTAGTGCTTGTTGTTGATGCTGTTGTTGGTTGGGTATCTTCACCACCTCTGTCTTGTCTATATTCACTTGAAGTCGCGTTTTCGCTGCCCTGCCTCTTCTGACAACTTGTTAGTTTTCGCCTGTATATCTTCCAGTTTGTGCGACATCAGACACAAGTCATTGGCGAAATCAAAGTCTTCTAGGCTCTTTTCCGCGGTCCAGCGTATCCCCATCTTCTCGCTCCTCACTGTTTGTTGCATGCTCCAGTCCACTACAATCAGGAATATCATGGGTGATAGTAGACAGCCTTGTTTCACTCCTGTCTTCACTCCCATTGTGAATTACTTGGCATGTGGCGTCGTCATATAGTTGTTGAATGAGATTGATAAAGGTTTGTGGTATTCCATAGTGTCGAAGCAGCAGCTGCCAAATTACTTCTCGGTCGATGCTGTCAAAGGCCTTCTCAAAGTCGATTAATTTGAGGTAGAGAGTTGACTGCTATTCTATACTCTGTTCTATGATGATGCAAAGCGTTGCAATTTGGTCTGCACATGATTTGTTCTTCCTGAATCGAGCCTGCCTGTTCGGGTCGTAGTTTTGAATCCAGTGCACCCTTTAGTCTCTCCAAGATGATGCGGCTTAATATTTTGCTTGCACTGGGTGGACAGGAGCGTGATTCCGCTCCAGTTCTTGTAAACACTGAGGTCTCCCTTCTTTGGGAGTTTGATAAGGTAACCCTTCTTCCAATCTCCAGGTACCTTACCTTCCTTCCACACCTTCTGCAATAGTGGTATGGGCATGTCCGCTGTTGTCTCTGCGTCTATTCACAGTGCTTCTGGCGGGATTCCATCTGGTCCTGCTGCTTTCCCACATTTCAGTAGCTTTATGGCACTCAGGACTTCGACTTTTGTTAGGGGATTTATGTTCACTTGTAGTTCAGTGGCTGCAGGTGGTGGTCGATTCAAGAGCTTTTTCAAGTGGTCAGTCCGTCGTTTCCTTTGTTTCTCCTATTTGGTAATTAAGCTTCCTTCACTATCTTTCACTAGTCTCATCTGAGTTGATCTCTTCCCTCCCAGACAGTAAACTGGTTATTTGATATCATGTTGTCAGGTCTCTCCTACCAGCAGCCTGTTCTGCTTCACTTGCCAGTGTGTTGTAGAAGTGTCTTTTATCTTTCCGCGCACTCCTCTTCACTTCTTTGTCCAGTGTTTTATACATTGTACTCAGTCCCTCTTCTCGTCGTTCATCCTTGCACTGATTCATCTTCTGCTTCACCATCTTCCCTCCCTCCCCTATCAGCTTCCATGTGTCCATAGAGATCCATTCCTGATCTTCTTTCTTCTTCCTTCCTAATACGGTTGTGCAGGTTTCTTTCCACATCTCTTTCAAAGACTTCCACACAGGTTTCTTCAGGGATGTTGCTCAATATCTCCCATTTTGTCTTGGTGGCTGCCGTGAAGATTTCCTCATTAGTTTTGTCCTTCAATTTCTGTTTCGGGTGTTGAACTTGAACTGTGGTCTATCACCAACTTTCTTGAAGGCTTTTAACTTGATTTCGAAGGCAGGTTCCTTGCACTAGATGGTGAGTGGTCTGAGCCTACATATGCTCCCCATCTTGATCTGATCTGATCTTGTGTCCGGTAGGCTACATTTCCACTTTCTTCACATTGAGATGAAGTCGATCTGATGTTTAGTGTGTCTGGTGAAATCCATGTCGCTTTGTGAATATCCTTGTGTTTGAACACACTGCCTCCAATCACCAAATCATTAAATGTGCAGAAATCTGCAAACATTTCTCCATTCTCATTCATTTCGCCGAGTGCTTCTCAACCCATGATGAGTTCTCTTCCGCTTGCTGTGTTGTCCGCTCCCAGTTTGGCATTCATGTCGCCCATTAGAATTTTGATATCGTCAACTGAGGTCTTGTCCAGTGTTGATTGCAGTTGTCTGTAGAACTCCTCCTTCTTCTCTTCATCTGCATTATTTGTAGGTGCGTAGCATTGTATGATTGTGAATTTCCTTCCTTTGAGTTGAACCTTGTTGTCATGATCCTGCAGGAGGAGATTGGTTCCCACTGTATGAGAGCCTTGGGGACATCATGATAGCCACTGCATAACTCAGTGTGCTCATGGTTGTCGTCTGGGTGACAGTATCGGAGTAGATTACTGACTCTCCAGTTAACAGCTGGAATGGTCCACTTCGACTCCATCTGCTTTCGCAGATTCCTAGAACTTCAATACTGTACCCTCTCTTCTCATTTGCAATCTGGTCAGCCTTGCTAGGTTCAAACATGGTGTGGATATTCCATGTCCCCACGTTTACTTTCGCTTTCATCGAGGGAGAGAAGGCACATGGACCAATTGGCTTCGCGAAGGCCGGCTTCCACCAACCGGCATCATTTCGTCTCTCCGATTCCAGCGAGGAACAAGTTTGTTTTTATGTTTTATATTTTGTTTGTGCTTTGAAGTATCTTTAGGGGTTGGATTGGTTTTCCGGGTTAGGATTGCTAGCCGTATGCCCAACTTTCCCTCTTTACCTGAGCTTAGGACCGTAGGTAACTAGTGAACAAGTTAACCAGGTGAAGTTAGAGTATGATTAAGATAAATGAATCATTAGGTTATCAAGAAGAAAACTGGATTGTTATTTGGAGTTTCTTAGTTTTGGTTCAGGTTGCACTGAGAGTTGTACACTTGTGGATCTCACGGTTCTTGTGGTTGGTTACTTGAGGTTATGTGGTGTAAATTTCATCTTAGTAGATCATATATGTTCCCTTTTCATGGCATACTGAGGCCAGCATAAACAAACATTTCAGCTTTAATGTTATAGCTTGTAAATCTTCGTCGTTGTTTGTACCGAAGCTGGTGCATTAAAATGCTTAGTGTGTTCATGAAGGAATTTATATTTGGTCCCATCTAAGCTGCTTTCTCTGATAACACGGGTACAGATATTGAAAGTTCAACAATGCAGTTGGCAGTTAAGGATGAATTTAAGCGATAATTCTAAGTCTGTTGTACGTAAGAAAGAGCAGGGATTTAGTTAAATAGCTATATTTCACTTGTATACAGCACCGATAATAGCAACTTCGAAAGTCTGTTCTGCTGGATTCTTGAATCAGGGTATATGGAATACTATTTGAACTAATCAAAGGGGGACTTTCTTTAGTTCGTTATACTGGGATTTCGATTACAGGTCTCTGAGATGTATCTCAAAATGTCCTTACTAGATATGTTTGCTGTTATTTCTACACAAAGACTCAACTCTCAGGATGATAGATTTAAATATAATAGTTGATTTCGGAGTTGTGTGTGGAAAAGCTCATTGCAACATTTTGGTTCATTTTGAAATGGCGGAAAGTATTTGTAGCTTAAATGAGTGATCTTGGTTGCGTTGTGTTCTCTAAGCTAGGTGGTTTGATCGTGAAGTTTTCATTGTCATTCTAGACAACATCATCAGCACTAACTTCAATATGAAGTTAATTGTCCAGAAATGCGATGAAAGCTTCACGATCAAACCACCCAGCTCAGAGAACACAACTAAGATTTTGGTTCGTTATTTAGTTCATAGAATCATATTTGCTAAATGTACAATGATGATTGTCACCTCAGGCCTAATCAACAAATGTTCACTTAGAAAGAGTAAGCTAGATAATGGAGTGAATGTCGTGTCAGTAGATTTTATATCTTTTAAATATATCTATGTAACCTGTATAACCCATATCAATGGATTTATCATCACTGTAAGCACTACTGATAACTAGTTCTCATACACCGGTCATTTTTTCAATACATAACCAAACAACTGTTGTTAACTGGCTGTCCGTCACGTACATTTTATTTGTTTGGTGGTAGCTAACAGCAGACTTAAGACTGTTTGTTTCGTTATTTTTAGGATTCATTTGAATATGATAGTGTTTCCGCTGAGACTCAAACTTCAGAACTATAACTTCAAAAACCAGGACTTCATTACTGACCTATTAAGTCGTAAGAACCATCCCTTGATCAACAGACACATTTTTTAATTAAAAGGTGTTTGTGAAGAATTTATTGATTTCAGATTGTACGCCATGGGGTTAGAGAACTTTCGGAAACTGGGATACGTTGAACAGGATTTCAGTTTGGTGGTTTATGGGCATTTGATTGATTTTAGGGGGATGTTCATCATGGACAAGCGTCGGCTGAAGAAGCATTTAAAACCTAGGAGCACTGGATAACTGTTTTATATTACTATGGTTCTCCAACTGAAATCAGTTTGTGATGAATACTACCCTGAAACGTTCGACAGTTTTTTCGAACTTCTTTGGGACTCAACGGTACTTACCTCTGAGAAAGATTGAACCCAGTATCGCCAAGTTTCTAATCAAGCAAGTTATCAATCAATCAAAAATTGTGTTGGAGTTTGATTGCCAATGTCTCTCAGCTTCCTTTAGTTCACAATAAAGTGCGACCATATTTTTCAAAAAGTAGGCAAGTGGAACTTGCTCTTTTTGCTAAATCCACTTGAAATAGTAGTATGGGATAAAAGAGGAAGAAATTAGGATGACTTCTGTAATACTGAGCTGTTAGTTTCTTTTAAAATGATTTACGGTCTTTCTGCTTCGTAACTGACTTCATCTCTATTTTTTTTACGGACCACATTTTTTAAAATCATAGTCTACAAGTAATTATATCGCTCGTCGATTTGGTGTACGTGCTGGTCTACCTGGATTTTTAGGCAAAAAACTTTGTCCTCAGTTGAAAATTATACCGTGTGATTTTGTCAAGTACACTACCACCAGCCGTGTTGTACGATCTATTCTTATGGAATATGCTTCTACAGGAAATGCACTAGATTCTTCTAGATCAGACATCATACCATTTTCAGCTGTCAGTCTTGATGAAGCTTATCTAGATTTGACAGATCACTTGATTGAACGCTGTGAATTCACTGTTGAACGACGTACATTTTGGCCTAGATCTGCTCCTGGTGCACCAATGCTAGTTTGCCGGTAAGTTATTGTTTTTTAAAATTTAAACATTAATGTTTTAATTAGTTGGTTCTTTGAGATTATAATGTTTAATCAGTGATATTCGTAAGTATGCTCATCAGTTGGACATATAAAGTGGGTCTGCTTTTTTAAGAAGCTTTCGAATGTTTATTCGTTACTAGAAAGCCGATGATAACCTCGCCTAGGTAACTAGTTCATTAGTTACCTACGGTCCTAAGCTCAGGTAAAGAGGGAAGGTTGGGCATACGGCTAGCAACCCTAACCCGGAAAACCAATCCAACCCCTAAAGATACTTCAAAGCACAAACAAAATATAAAACATAAAAACAAACTTGTTCCTCGCTGGAATCGGAGAGACGAAATGATGCCGGTTGGTGAAAGCCGGCCTTCGCGAAGCCAATTGGTCCATGTGCCTTCTCTCCCTCGATGAAAGCGAAAGTAAACGTGGGGACATGGAATATCCACACCATGTTTGAACCTAGCAAGGCTGACCAGATTGCAAATGAGAAGAGAGGGTACAGTATTGAAGTTCTAGGAATCTGCGAAAGCAGATGGAGTCGAAGTGGACCATTCCAGCTGTTAACTGGAGAGTCAGTAATCTACTCCGATACTGTCACCCAGACGACAACCATGAGCACACTGAGTTATGCAGTGGCTATCATGATGTCCCCAAGGCTCTCATACAGTGGGAACCAATCTCCTCCTGCAGGATCATGACAACAAGGTTCAACTCAAAGGAAGGAAATTCACAATCATACAATGCTACGCACCTACAAATAATGCAGATGAAGAGAAGAAGGAGGAGTTCTACAGACAACTGCAATCAACACTGGACAAGACCTCAGTTGACGATATCAAAATTCTAATGGGCGACATGAATGCCAAACTGGGAGCGGACAACACAGCAAGCGGAAGAGAACTCATCATGGGTTGAGAAGCACTCGGCGAAATGAATGAGAATGGAGAAATGTTTGCAGATTTCTGCACATTTAATGATTTGGTGATTGGAGGCAGTGTGTTCAAACACAAGGATATTCACAAAGCGACATGGATTTCACCAGACACACTAAACATCAGATCGACTTCATCTCAATGTGAAGAAAGTGGAAATGTAGCCTACCGGACACAAGATCAGATCAGATCAAGATGGGGAGCATATGTAGGCTCAGACCACTCACCATCTAGTGCAAGGAACCTGCCTTCGAAATCAAGTTAAAAGCCTTCAAGAAAGTTGGTGATAGACCACAGTTCAAGTTCAACACCCGAAACAGAAATTGAAGGACAAAACTAATGAGGAAATCTTCACGGCAGCCACCAAGACAAAATGGGAGATATTGAGCAACATCCCTGAAGAAACCTGTGTGGAAGTCTTTGAAAGAGATGTGGAAAGAAACCTGCACAACCGTATTAGGAAGGAAGAAGAAAGAAGATCAGGAATGGATCTCTATGGACACATGGAAGCTGATAGGGGAGGGAGGGAAGATGGTGAAGCAGAAGATGAATCAGTGCAAGGATGAACGACGAGAAGAGGGACTGAGTACAATGTATAAAACACTGGACAAAGAAGTGAAGAGGAGTGCGCGGAAAGATAAAAGACACTTCTACAACACACTGGCAAGTGAAGCAGAACAGGCTGCTGGTAGGAGAGACCTGACAACATGATATCAAATAACCAGTTTACTGTCTGGGAGGGAAGAGATCAACTCAGATGAGACTAGTGAAAGATAGTGAAGGAAGCTTAATTACCAAATAGGAGAAACAAAGGAAACGACGGACTGACCACTTGAAAAAGCTCTTGAATCGACCACCACCTGCAGCCACTGAACTACAAGTGAACATAAATCCCCTAACAAAAGTCGAAGTCCTGAGTGCCATAAAGCTACTGAAATGTGGGAAAGCAGCAGGACCAGATGGAATCCCGCCAGAAGCACTGTGAATAGACGCAGAGACAACAGCGGACATGCCCATACCACTATTGCAGAAGGTGTGGAAGGAAGGTAAGGTACCTGGAGATTGGAAGAAGGGTTACCTTATCAAACTCCCAAAGAAGGGAGACCTCAGTGTTTACAAGAACTGGAGCGGAATCACGCTCCTGTCCACCCAGTGCAAGCAAAATATTAAGCCGCATCATCTTGGAGAGACTAAAGGGTGCACTGGATTCAAAACTACGACCCGAACAGGCAGGCTCGATTCAGGAAGAACAAATCATGTGCAGACCAAATTGCAACGCTTTGCATCATCATAGAACAGAGTATAGAATAGCAGTCAACTCTCTACCTCAAATTAATCGACTTTGAGAAGGCCTTTGACAGCATCGACCGAGAAGTAATTTGGCAGCTGCTGCTTCGACACTATGGAATACCACAAACCTTTATCAATCTCATTCAACAACTATATGACGACGCCACATGCCAAGTAATTCACAATGGGAGTGAAGACAGGAGTGAAACAAGGCTGTCTACTATCACCCATGATATTCCTGATTGTAGTGGACTGGAGCATGCAACAAACAGTGAGGAGCGAGAAGATGGGGATACGCTGGACCGCGGAAAAGAGCCTAGAAGACTTTGATTTCGCCAATGACTTGTGTCTGATGTCGCACAAACTGGAAGATATACAGGCGAAAACTAACAAGTTGTCAGAAGAGGCAGGGCAGCGAAAACGCGACTTCAAGTGAATATAGACAAGACAGAGGTGGTGAAGATACCCAACCAACAACAGCATCAACAACAAGCACTAATCACCATTAACGGGAACAAGCTGAAGGAAGTAGTCTTTTTGACCTGTCTAGGCAGCATCGTTTCAAATTCAGGCGGTGACACAGATGAGGATGTCAAAGCCAGCCAAAATCGGAAAAGCAAGAGAGGTGTTCATTAGCCTGAAACCAGTGTGGAGATCTTCTGCACTCAGCGTGTGGAACAAGATCCAGATTTTCAACACCAATATCAAGTCAGTGCTGCTCTATGGCTCAGAGACTTGGCGCGCTACGAAAGGGATTTCCAACAAACTACAGACATTCATCAACAACTGCCTACGCTAATTCGATACTCAAGATCAGATGGCTAGAAAGAATAAGCAACAAGGAACTCTGGCTGGCAACGAACCAAGCAAAAACTTATCACTCAACAAATATACGAAAGGAAGTGGAGATGGATTGGGCACACACTGAGAAGGCCGACTGGGGACATCACGTGCCAGGCCAGTCGCTGTAGTGGAATGTATGTGGGGAACGTCTGGTTGGTCTTCCGAGATGATGTGAGATGTAGGAGATGGTATGAAGTATGAATGAAAGCTTGTGGGCAGTTGGGGCGCCATATTGACACGACTGTAGAGAACGGGGTGTTCCATTAGGAACGCAATAAATAATTAGCTGATGATGTTTTTGTATGAGTCTTCGGTTACACTCTGTTTTGATTGTTCTGTCTTTGCTTCATTATTTTTTATAAGGCTTGAAATTGTTTCAGCTTACATACATCTCTTTTTTTTGATGGTGTTTGTTCTTCTCTCATTTGCAATAATCTGTAAATATTGTGTGAAGAGTTTTCTTAGTTTCAAGATTCTGACACTTGTACACTCTAACATTCTTATATCTTTGTTCTGAAGTAAAGAACTGCTCTGCGACAGTTGGAATAACGTAGAACTTTTACAGCAATCCATCTTCAAAACAACGCAACGAAGGAGATGAATTCAAAAACAAAACTGCTGCTAATAATATGGAAATTGTGAAGAAAGTGTAATAAAGCACGATAAATTGATGAATATATGGGTGCATGATAATCGCTTATTCAAAATGTATAGCAAGGTAGACAGTGAATACATCTGTACTACTTCTAATAATTTCTACTCAGCTGTCGTAAACACTAAACCTAAAAAGGTTGTATCTGTCTTCACTGTTGAATACAGGTGTCTGCTTGAAAGTGCAGCTGTAGGTCATTTTTTAGGGAGATGATTTTCAGCCCGTGGGTCACGCTTTCGATCACTGCTCCACCTGCTAAGGTTTGGACAGCCAGGTAGTATCATCATGAGGTGTGGCTCATTGGCTATTGCACGAATGTGCACAAGGTTGCTAACTGCATCTTATCCATTCTTATCTTGTCTGGTTTAAAGAATCGAAAAATTCGTGTGAATGCTTATTTTCCTTAAAATATCATTGGGTTCAACCTCTAAGCACAAATGTTTTCACGCTAATTTGCAAAAGATGATATTATTTCCAATTCATCAGTTGTGGGACCTAATTCGCTTCTCAATTATGTTGCACAAGTTTCTATTGGCAAGCAGAGAAAGCAGTGATTGGGGCCATATATATCACTTTAATTTTTCAAAATCAAATTTTAATTGTCGAGTATTTAGTGAAATAAAAAATATAATAATACGTATAATTAAATTTAATTCTGTTGAATTAAAATAAAAGGGAATTTAACAACTCCAGAAGGCCAGATGGGTGAGTGAAGTAATATATAAAATTTTGACTTCATGGCTTTAGTTATGACAATATTGATGATGAACCAATGCTGAGATCCTAACCCATGTAGCGAATATTATGATATTTTGTTGATTATAGAAAGGGCAGATCTGATGTATTCCACGTGACATTTGTCGCTCATATCTGGGTTAACAGAATTTTCTTTTCTACCAGTTATTTTCAACTGTACAGTCTTATCTATAATAATAACAAACAAACAGATGAGTCTATCACTGACTAATAGATCAGCATTAGGTCATAAGTACGAAATGTTCTAGGGTAAAACAGTGGGTCGATTGTAGAGTTAGAAAAGAATTGCGCAATAGTAGTATATATAAGGAATATATGTAATCGATTGACGTGATGACTAATGGGTTAAACATAAATCAAAATAACAATACTAACCATAGACAATAATCAGAGTAAAGTATTATGGGAATTGTAATGGGAGATTGGAGCTAACCGTTAAGACGTTAGAAAGTAAACCGCAATGTAAAAATAAAAAAATAGGGACAATAAGTCAGTAAAAGAAATATGAATATTGAAGCAATAAAGAAACTCGGAAGGATTGTGACCACTGCAAAATAAGAGGATGAATTTACTCCTTTTGTACGCAGAGCTCATCGCTTCTGCCGTACATAAGTGGCGAATCTGTACTCCTTTCAAGCTGTTCGAATTTACTTTCCATAGGATTTTGAAAGAAGCGGTATGGCCAGCGCTGATCAAATGTTCCAACATGGAACTGTTGCTTGACTTGTGTTCTCCTCTGAACAGCCAAGCAGGATAGTGCTCGGAGATGCGTTTGGGAAGACTCCGTTTTGTGAGGCCTACATAATCAGCTCCTCAACAGAAGTTAAACTGATAGACACATGGATGTGGCCCAAAGCGGCAGTTTGTCCTTCACACTACTGAGTCAGCTGTTGTCTAGAGAAAACTATTCGCAGTTCGGCGGCATAGGATTTTTTTTTTGAATTCTTTAGAGAGACGATTCCTCAGTATTTATGCTGCCTTGTCTCCTTTGAATTAAATATTCATGAATGGAGTTTCCCTACGAATAGTATGAACTTTATTTTGTCGTTGTTTTGGCTTCATGTTTTTTTCGATGAACCTTGAGGGATAAGGTTCGTTTTTCGGTTCAACGGTACCCAACTTTGGAAATGAGTGCATTATCCGTTCCAAGTTGGCTTCTTAAAGACTGATCTTTTTAATGAGCTATCATGTCTCTTCAACAAGGTATCACTGACTGACTGACAAAATCAACGTAGAACCTTGCACACAAGTGCAATGGCTCAAATTACCACACTTCACAGTACTACACAAAGAACAGGTGGAAAGAAAAAGAGTGACATCAAAGTAAACAAAGTTGTGGTGGGGAATAAACAGTTTGAAGATAACGGTTGGTGTGAATATTCAAACTGTAGATATCAAGAAGTGAGTACATCTGCACCACTGTGATCAATTTTCATCCGTGTCAACAAGAGTCCTCAGGCACTGATTCCTATCGTCTCTAGGACCCCAACCAGGCAGTCTGCATCTCCCCATACGGCTCAGACTAACAGTTTGGGACTTCATTGACTGGTGCCATATCTTGGTCTGGCCACTCTGAACCGTCTTTTAACCTGATTCAACTTCCCTTAATATGACACATCAAGGTATGCGGTGACTTGGCCTGGGCAATACATGTTCAAGGCATCTCAGTCAATTAACGTTCACAACCTTATCAGTCGACTTGCCTATCTTACCTAGAACCTTTTATCTGACCTCAACATTGTTCATACGGTGATTCCACCAAACGTGATTAATGGTACGAAGACATCTGTGATCCAAACGCTGAAATTGCTTCATGTTTCCAACTTTCAATGACTACGTCTCAGACCCGTACAACAGGACAAAACGAACTGCAGCGCAAGTTTGGAAATGCAAAACGGGCCTTCTGTGTCCGAGCTGAGATTTCGTCAGCAACCAGCCTGTTCGGCGGACTGATGAATCTCCTCAAGCAAGTGAAGTGTTTAACACATTCCATTACTTCACTCCCTTTCCTTAGACCAGGCATAGTTACACTTCAGTTCTGAAGCTTCTTACATTTGACAGGTGCGAGATGCATGCCAAACATATTCAGATTTCTGCCGAAGGCGTTCAGAAGGCCCTGGGTTTTGTCATCGTTTTTACCAAGCAGGACAATATCGTCTGCGTACTCCAAGTCAACCAGATGACCTCAAGGAAGTAGGCCAGTCCCTGTGAAGTAAGATGTACCTAAGGATATGTTCGCCAGTACGTCCATGACGACATGAAATAAGAGCAGTGACAGTGGCCATCCATGGCGGACACCACTTGTTGTCGTTAGTTTAGATAAAATCTCTCCATAAGCCTTGATACGACAGCATGAATTCGAGTATAGAGGTCTGATAAGGGTTATATACTTGCTTGGTACTCCCTTCACAGTCAAGCACTGCCAGAACACCTCACGGTTCATATAGTCGAATACCGCTTTCTCGTTAATGAATATGGCTAGTATCGACCACTGATAAGTGTGCCTGTTGGAGAGTGAAAGCATAATCGATGCACCGTCATTCAGGTCAGAAACCTCTCTGGTTTCCTCGAGTTTGCGTCGGATAACTATGGAGCTTAGGATCTTGGACACAATATTAGTCAAGGTAAATCCCCTCTGTTTATCACAGGAAGACTTTTCTCTGTCCTTGTCAACTGTGATGATCGATGAAGTACACCAGTCTGATGTCACTACCTCTGATTCACATACACTACGTGGTAACTCCGTCACTTTAATTAGCAATTTCCTACTTCCATCCTTAAAAACGTCAGGTGGCAAACTATCTGATCTTGCTGGTTTACATTCTTTCAGCTTGGATGCAGCCTTTTCAACCTCAAGGAGAAGTGGAGGACCGAGATTTACGTCCCATTCAGGCTCAGGCTGTTTGTTGGGCAATTTAAGCGTTACTGGGGGCTAGTGAACAAGTACTTCAAAGTGTTCTGCTCAACGTTTTTGGGTGCCTGTCTTGAGAGGTTATCAGTATCCCGTTCCTTTCGATGATGGTTTCACTCATTATAGCTCTCTTCTTGCCAGAGCCGGTAATAAGCCTAACTAGTTGTCAAGTGTTGCCTTTGTTAACCTTTACTTTACCTTAGATTTACTGCTGTCACACTCCATCTGGCTAGTTGTACGACTTCGCCCTCAGATCCCCACCATAGTGTAGTAATGTAAAATAACACGGTAACTGCTTTTCGTCTTACCACTATCCACTAGGTCTTTCTAGCATGGCGGAACCTAGAAGAAACAAGCGTTCCACCAGGAAAGTTCATCGGATCATTGTGATATGCAAGCCTGACCACCACGTCAAGGAAGCAGCTATTTACCGCGATAACACGGAAATAAGATTTTGAGCTGCTCTTAGCTTTCATCAGGAAATTCTTGAGAATGGGTATGGAAATAAGTTGATTTCATTTGATAAATTATATCACCTCCTCTACATTTTTTATCAGTATTAATTATCATTACATGAAACCAGCTGTTTGAAGTGTGAACTATATCTGTCCTACATCAAAAAAGTGTTTATTATAAGTATGCTCCTAATAAATACGCTACTTATCGATAGTTATTGCCGATCACGAAGTTCTTTCCTCTTGGTTATAGTTGTCGCTCACGTTCTAAAAATTCACAATCTAAAACTTCGAATAAGAACTGTAGTGACGGTCAACTGCAATCACTCATGGATGATAATCCTGAAAGTAATTCTAATTCTTGTCAAGAAGTCAAAACATTATCTACTGAATCACCTCTTACTGTTTCAAAACCTAAGTATTGTGATCCCGAATTGGAAGTCTGTGATGAATGTGGCTTATTGTGTAAATCTGGTCGTCGAATATTTGGTCTATCAGCTTGGGAGGCAGTTCGAGAAATGCGATTTCGTGTCTTTTGTGCCACAAGTCTCACATGTAGTGCTGGTAAGTTTGTCATTTCAGTTATTTATTTTAGTTTTCAGTTAACTTACCTGATTTCAGATCATCCAAATGACTTCGTTTTGTTGGGTGAAAATATTTGAAAGTGGAACTCTAGTGCTGTGAGGTGACAGCATAAGTTTGCTTATAATGCATTTTTCGCGCAAATAAAGTGTTTTGTCAGGAGTGATGTACACTGACGTGTACTCAAACGCTAAATAATGATGAGGTTGAATACACTGACCACTTCACTTGCCTATAGGGGTGGCTGTATTCATTTTGTTACTGACAAAGAAACTGCTTAGATTTCCACAACCTACACAATTTTGGGAATATTTATGCCTGTGAATCCATATTAAGTGCCGCACCTTACTATCTAGCAATATCTTCCGTCCTGCTATTTGTTTGTCAAACATAGCCATGAAACGTAGAAAACACACTTAGAGTAACTGATATTTTCTCGCTGTTAATTTTGAAACTTCATAGTTGTACTTTGGATGTATCAACTGTGGATATTCGATGTAAGCATAGAGTACTAGGCAAAGGTGACAAATGTGTCGATAGGGACCTACGTCACAGGAACAGAATATAATATTAACATAAACGTAGAAACTACCTACCTTAGCTGGAAAAGATTTATAGTGTAAGTACTCAGCAACCATATGAATGCTTGTGCAGTAAGCAATGAGCTACACCTTTTTTGTGAGGACTGATGATATTACTTGGTCGTCCAGATCTCGGTGGGTGGAGTGGGTTTCGAACCCGTGACCCACTTGTTGAAAATCAGGTGCCTAAAGCGATGAACCACAACTCCAATTATAGCGTGAGAAGTCTAATGAAGATCAAACCAAAACATGACACCAATAGACGAATCCCTGACCGCTAATGTGAGTTATATAAGAAAGTGTGAATCATATGGTTGACGCATCTTTTACTGACTTTAATAATATCTACTTTTTCATCCTGTCCTAATGTATTTCTGTGGTGTTTTGTATTTTTTTCCCCTTCTAGTGTTACTTATTATTATCCTTATTAATTTTCTCTTCCATTTCTTTGTAGTTCTTTTCTGGTGGTATATAGTGTGAAAAGATAAGTTTATACACAATTTTAAATTCTCCATTGTTTCCCCCCACCATTCCCATGTGAAGTATTATTTTCCTTCCAGTATCTGAAACTTCAGGGTTGCATCCTATTGCTAACTGTTTGACTTACTCAAATCTTTGAGCGATTTTATGTTTTCTTTTTATCAGTGAATAAACCTGACTATTTTCACATGTTAGTATTAATAACTGTTGTATGTGATTGAACTCATATACTGATATATTTGTTTTTCTCATGAAAAATAAAATTGCTAATTTTCATTTAATTCTTGTGTAATAAATGATGAGTGAAATGTATTTAACATTTAGAGACTGAACACATTTTGATTTGGGCTTTTTAAAATCAGGTATTGGTCCAAACACTTTGATCGCGAAAATCGCTTCTGATTGGATAAAACCGTGTGGACAGTATGAAGTTCCTAATACGTTGGACGCTGTTGATCAGTTTATGCGAACCATGCCCGTGAGAAAAGTATGTTCTCAGTGTTTCGCACCGCTTATATGAGATTTCTGTGTGCATCCAATGATTTCAAAAAAGGTTTTGGATTTTAGAATATCATGGGGAAAATTATTTGTCATGAGATCATTCCTGTGGTTAGTTTTGTTTACTCAAGTAAGCATCTGATAAAATGCTCATATCTGTCAACGAAACAATTGGTTGAAATCCTGATAATAAGTGACTAGTCAGTAGAATACTTTTAAGCCTAACAGTGGATGTGGCTGTATCGTTGTGCATTGTTTTGTCATCTTGGTCATTACCGTCACTCCGCTGGTTTTATCTTGAATACCTCACACTAGCTCCTTTCTTTTCCTATAATATCTCAGCACCACTTTTAAAGATTAAAAAATAAGAAGCACAAGTAAGACATTGTTTCATGCTACTTCATCTGTTCGAGGTCAACTACTACATGACACAGCATATCTTCCACGTGGTGAAGCCTACTCTAAGGCTAACATTGGTCTCATTTTAGTCCTACCTTATTTATTTGCATTAATTATGATTGGTAGCTGGTGAAGTCTCAGCAAGCATACAAAAATTTCATTTGGCTACTTGCAGCTCAGTGTCTGTTGCTCTACAGATGTATCAGAAACACCGTACTGCAGCTGTTGAAAGTGAAAGATATCAGAGTGCTAACATATTGGATCATTTTGTTCCTTGAACCATTGTTGGTTTGTAGAGGAGTTATCCCATACTTTTGTTCTATCTTTACTTATTCAAATTACCTCTTCCGTCCTCTCTTCCTTGTTTTGCGGGTATGAAGTGTCGAATATTTATCCCTTTCTCTACATGGTTAAATTGATCCTTAGTAGAATTATCTCATAGCATGTCTTCGCTTTCTATGTTTTGTGTACATCCTGAACATTATCAAGTAACGAAATTATTGTACTCAGCATAATCCATATTGAATAGGCGAAAACGAAAACAAAGAAATAAAACTGTTTCAGCAACCTCGAGTAACGTTGTGCATTGGACGATGAGTTATGCCTATTTTTGCGGGCCGGTGATGCTACCTGACTGCCCAAGCAAGCAGGCTTCAAACCTTCGACTTACTGATTGAAAGTTGAGTTCCTAGACCAGTAAGTCACACAAGGAAGTTTTTCGTATCCAGAATACTTTTTAATTGTAAGTATAAGCACAGAATCTAGGTCTGCACCGTAGTCAAGAGTGTTGGGAACAATAGATATATTTCTCATTTTTATTACCTAAACCCTTTTCTAGACTGTATCTTGGTCGCATTAACTCAGACCAAAGAGTTCCTGGTGTCTCATTTGATTGCTTGATGGATAACTGTTTGAATTTCTCAGCGGTGGATACTGTTTTTTAATCTCAATGGAGACATCAACTCTACATATGTGATGCAGCACCAGCTGACCATATCTGGAATTCCTTGGCTGGAAACTGTTAAATAATATCTAGTTAGATACATTTTGGGTATCTTTGAAGCCAAGAACTGTCATATAAGCAATCGTTTACTGGGATGGTGTATGAATGAGAAATCAAAAAAAATTCAATTTAATAGTAGTGTGTTTATCATCCGAAGCTTATAAAGAATTGAATTTTCAAACATTTTTAGTGTGAGGAGTAATTCATATCAATCTCCGGTGTTTTTCACCCTACAATATGACGATATTTCTCTCTTTATTTCTGGAGTTTGGTATGTGCGCATCTGTGCCTCTTTGCATTTTGATTTAACGAAATAGTGACCGAACGATAATGTTTTTCAACAAACGTTTTATTCACATACTCTGAAAGTGGATAATCAACCGTTCTTTCTATAAGTAGTCTCGTGAATTAATAGTTATTTTAAGTACATCTATCTGACAAACTAAAATATCTATCGACTAATCCAGACTGTTTGTGTTTTTTTATCATCTTCGTTTGAAACATGTTGTTGCACATGCAAAAGCAGAAAAAGGTCGAATTATTTTAATTCGCATTATCTTGCTGTCAACACTTTAGTGAGAAGCTACTGAAACAAGTGTTTAGATTACTTGTACGCTTGTAATTCATGAAAACCTACTTTCATGGATATTTTGGATGACTCTAATTCCTTTACATTAGCATGCATCGATCTAATTCCGATCGAAAGTTATTCTCATCACTATCTTCTTAATTATTTATTTTATGCTCATTTAGGTGATTACAAATACCGGACTGAACTAAAACCGTTCTGGTCCATAGGGGAAATACGTCACTACCATTTATAGCCTACACTATTAAAGTTATGCACTTCAAATGGTTTTTCCAGCGAATAATTTCTGGAATCAGAACAATTTAGTTCCAGACGTTACACTTCGCTTTGCTTTTTATTTTATCAGCCTTCATTATTGAAGTGTGACCTTATAGTAGGGTTGTTCGTCATTGGATTGCGTATTCAGCTTTCAAACGGAAAATCATAAGTTTGAACTTCACTTTATCTCTGGATGTTTGGATTAAGTAGGTAGTATCACTAGCCCTTCGCATATTAGGTGTAACTAAATGCCTAATATAGGCACCTGTGAATGGTTTTGGAGTTTTGTCAGACTTTTCGGTTTAATAGAATACTGTGGGTGATGGTGAAGGGTCAACTGTCTAAATTTTTAGGTAATTGACAACTTTGATTATGTAGATCAGAAAATATGATTTGCCGCTGGTTTTGTTTTCTTCTCTGACTACGCATGCTATGAACAACGTAGTTCATGAAAGTGATTCGTTACACTTTTTTTGGGATTAAGTATACACCTCTGACAGCTTATAAAAAATTCTAAAGGCTCTTTCAACATCAATCCTACAACTCTTATTAATAATTTGTTTGGCGATGGATGAAGATGATTGTCTTCCACTTGTGCCTATCGATATTTGAGAACCTAGATACTTTTATAGCAACCATATACATTTCTCACCACCTTCAATTCCATATCTTGATTAATCTTCCGTATGTCCGCTTACATGTGAACTGGTAAATACAGTAGGGTATTACGCAATCGTCCCTGCCGTGATGCGGTCTGTGCTCCAAGTGTTTTTTTTTCTTCACTTCCGTAAACCTAGTTGGATAATGTTTTTCTGGTGGCAGACGTTAACTGTCGTTTTAAAACTTCGTTATAAGATTCCATTCAGTGTGGTGGCGTAATATAAACGCTTTTCTTTGGAATAGAATGTACAGTAGATTTCAGAGTTAATTGATTCCTGCCGTCGTTTATGAGCCTCAGTGGTTATCCATTCTAATCATGTTTCCTTTAGTCCTTCTTTGTTAACAACCATTGTATCTGGTGAACAGGCATTTTGGATCCTCTTTGATAGACATTTTATCAAGCTTGGCTTGGGTTACACTGGAAGTAGCTGTAAAAACTTGAGTATTGTCGTGCGGGAGTCGGTTTCCTGTAGGTTGATCATTCTACTGAACCATCTATCCTACTACTTAAGATTAAATCCAGGAACAACAGATAGTTGTCTTTTTTTCATATTTTAAGTGGATATGGTCGTCTACGGCATAAAGTCTTTCTAGCAAACAGATAGCATCTTCATGCCTGTCAAATACTGTAGCCGCATCGTTTACATATCTCTTATGAGTAACTTTGGCAGTGTGATCATCAACTAAACTTTTCTTTTATGAAACTATCAGTTAGCAGTTGTTATAAGGTACCGCCCATCTCTGAGGGGTAGATTTGTTGGAAATGTTTCCTTTCAAATAAAAATGTAACGGATTGTCAGTTTCCCGAATTTTACTCAATCCATACAGATTCCTTAATTTGAACTCCATTGGTTCTAGTTAAAATCAAATTGTTCGAAATACCTTGAGCAAATGCATCATTTGTTCTTTTTTAGGCGAACGGTGCTTTCTAATTATGCTAACAAGTGTTTGTTCTTATTTGCTGCATTTGTTATAGCATTTTCATTACTGATACATTAGTATGATGCAATTCAGTAGCCATCTGTAGACTGAGCCACTTGTTATGCAACAGTTACCGATAATCTTTGATTGCCTAAACTGCGATAAGGAGCTTCAATTTCGAACTCATGGTTAACTGATGGAAAGCTGAGTGTTGAAACTACTAAGTTCCTGGTGCATAATAATAGTAATAATGATAATAATCGCTACTACAGTATTTAACCTTTTTACATATTTTTATAGGTTCCAGGTATTGGTTATGTTACAGAACGTCGTTTGGATGCATTTGGAGTTAAAACATGCTCTGATTTAATTGACAAACGTGGTTTACTCTGGCACGTAAGCACTCGAACAACAATGATCTACTATATGCGTATTGCATTGGGACATTCTGATGATCAATGGTTAATTCATTTCAAACATTATTCTGATGAGAAATCTAATGGAGTTTGTGAACGTGATGACACAAACAATGCTTCTTCTGCACAAGGGCAAATAGAATTAAATAGAAAGAGTATGAGTGTAGAAAGGTTAGTTAGTTTGAATCGTACACTTGTTTATCCCTAATACATGAAAAAACTATTTATCAGATAATTTATTTAGGTCATAAAAATGATAATCACGCATATATTCACGTAATATTGATGACCTACACTCGAGTGACCAGTTTGTAAGATGTAGTGGTTTAAATGATGATTCATTCAATAACTACCCATATGTGAAAGTTCAAATATATCAAAGAGAATTAAATGAGTTGCTGTGATAAAATTATACCTAATTTACTTCATACATTTCGTTAAATATCGAGGACCTGAGTAAACACTTTAGGTAGGTTAAACACTTGGTGGAACTTAATAATAAAAATTCTCAGTTTTATTTTGTTGCACATGTTGTTCAGTAAGAGATTGATTGAAATTCTCGTAGAAATTAGTCCTAAGCATAGTGAGATTGATTGGTGAGAAATTGCAATCCGAATGGTTTGTTTTACAAATCTGAATAGTGACCTATCCACGAAATGCAATCTATGTTTTAAAAGTTTCTATCTGTAGTCAGAATTAAAGTTATCAATACTCCTTACTTTTATATGGGTTAAAGTAAGTGAAATCATGTTATTTAATTCTGTGTCTGGAACTTGGTAAACGTTTCATTCCCATAATATGCTTTTCTATCCTTCTACTTAGTCAGAATAGAAGAGCAAAATGTATTTTTTATGGTGGTTGTAATTGTTTTGGGTGTATAGTTATTTATGAATTTGGTGTAAAACCATCTTACGACCATTGAAACAACAATCTTTTACTCATAGTAACATGTGGCTCGATTAAAGTTTGCATGAGTTGTGTAATCATACTTTTCAAAGAACGAAAATACATGATTCAGTGTTACAAAGAAGAAAAAGCTGAAAAGCGTGGATGTATGAAAACAGTGTAAAACAGTTTCAATTTTCATATCAGTATAAAAAGGAATGACTACTCTTATAACAGTATAATTTTGAATGTTGGTTCGTATGCCTGGATTTCTACTGAAACTTTATACTGTTCGACTGTATACTTCTAAACAGGACAGATCGGTGGGGTGTATGTTTAAGGAGTATTACCCACTTTTTCTCTAGGCGCTTAACAAAACTTCCTCTAATTATGAAGTCTGAATTCATCACACATCCATGATTGGTAAATACAGTTGTAAGTTATTTCTACAACCTGCTCACAAATATCGCAACAATTCAAAGTGATTATGCAAGCAACCTGTTTTTAATTAAATTTTCGATTGCATCGAACCGTGTGGATAAGTAATCATATCGTTTGCCGTACTTAACATCAATATAATTGAGCACCATAGTATACTTGAATAGGATGGTTGTTTAAAGAGAAATAAAATCCTGTGACCTGTGGACTTGCATGTCTTTGTGATTTTCTGGTTAGATTTTACACTATGCACTCAAACTCTACATAAATAAACACAAAATTTATTTATTTTATTTGTCGTCTATATCTGTTCTGAATGTGAACGTCGCTTGTTGAATTTTGACAGTATTGTGAGTTAAGCTGAAAAAAGTTAAAAATAGGTTTCGTTAAGTTTGGGAAAATAAAATGCTAGATTTCAATCAATGTCATTTAATTGGCATACCCAGTTACTATATCCACCAGCATATATTATGAATAGTAAAATTAGCGAAACCCTTAAAATATGCTTTTGTAATAGTTTATATCACAAGGTGTCTGAAATTGTAAAGTGAGACACGTGTTTGTGTAAATTTGTTGAACCTGAATTGTTCTCTGAACGAGAGTTTCAGTTAGCAGACACTTCAGAGTCACAGTGTGCGTTGTCTTCAGTACAGTTTCAATAAAGCTAAGCTACTTTATTGCACACAGGTGTTTATAATTATTGAATCCACCCAATTTCAACTCTACTGGTCGGCTTGAAAGTATGTAGACATATGTTGAATCTTTTTGATCTCCATATTCGCTTTACTCAGCCATCTGCCAATGTTAGTGAGTTGGTGGGTCCTAAATCTTAGTGCTGATCGAAATCTGTAGATCAAATGTACAGTATAGTCACTAAATTAGTTGAAACAACAGTGCTGTGCTCTATATTTAGTGTTGAATGTTTGTAGTGATTCTGCAGGAAATCTTAGACATCTTAATTTTAAGTGACTTGGTTATGGCTAGCAGTGGAACCGAGGGCCTGCGATTCGTCTTATTTGGGACTTGTCAGCTGGATGTATCCGCACCGCAGCAAGTGATGTTTTTCCCACTGAGACGCAAACCTCGTACTCATAGCTTCAAAAACCAAAGCTTTATCCACTTGTCCACGGAGGTATGATAGCCACCTGTTGTACAACGAGTATTTATTATTAGTAGTATTAATAACCTTAGGCATGCGTTACAAGTAGAAACTCGTTGATTTATTACCATTTTTCAAGTTTTTGTAGTTCCTAAGCACATCCGCTATACTATCCTATTCAAATGCATTAATATTCACTTGCGATAAAGTTTGATTGTATTTGTCTTTGATGTCAGATGGTTGTAGACAATTTAGAGGAAGTTCAGCTATCGTGTTACTTCAACACTGCACATATTTTTCAAGTCACTCAGCGATCATATTACAAACTTGATAGATTAAATTCCATTGGCTTTCAAAACTAGACAGTCGGATATTAGCTATAATCCAGCCTACCATTAGTCTACTAATTCTTGGTATATTTGAGTAACTTGGTGATATATTTCTAAGAATTCAAGTACACTGTTTGGTTTCGTTCCTAAAGTGTGCTGGTGAACTTATGATGCCGCTCTTCTGGTAAAAATAATGTCTTCCAAAAAATAAAAACCGCGGTAAAGTCAAACGTTTTAAAACTAGTAATGTAGTTGTACATTCATGCTCTCTGCTACGGCATTCCTTTTCATTTCATTCGCATGGTGAGGATGATTTCATAAAATTGAAAGAGTGTAATCGATTTTCTGTCACTGATCATCAGATTGATCCATATAAGTAAGTTAGAAAACCTTGATTCCAAATCACTTGTGTAAATAAACTACAGAATCTTAAAGGAATAAATAGCCTATACACCTAGTTTGTTTACCAGCAACCACTGGATTACAGCTCTTGATGCGACTCCTCTACTTTGAGAATTAAACGTTAAGTCTAAGATTTGTGATTGAGTCGCCTGAAAAAAACACATAATTTAGTGTAAGTGTACTAGCAGTACCTCTTCCTTCACTGTAATCATAAAACAACACTTGTGACACATTTTTCAGTGTTCATGCTGCACCAAGTTTGCGTTTTCAATCAAAGAAATGATGAGTAGAGAGAAGTAAATTACAAATGTATCACATTTGATTTTTATGTGTTAGATTTTAATTCCTGCATGACGATTGTTAGTTTCATCTTACATTGTTTACCCATCCAATTTGCATTTCAATTTAAAAACGTATGCAAAAATCACAATGAAAAAGTGAGATTCTTTTTCATAGCTATAATTGTTTGCTGATATTAATGTTTTTAATCATGTTACTGTTGTTTTTATAAAAAATTTAGAACATTTCCAGATACTTGTGACGAAGGTGAACTGATGCATCGCTGTGAACAACTTGCTCAAATGCTGTCAAGTGACTTGAGAGAGGAACATGTTAAAGTAAGTATGAAAGGTACTTTGTCAAAATGAGTGGAACATTTTCTTTTTGATAGTGTAATAAGATGCAGATAACATACTAACGTGTTTATCATTTATTATATTCACGCGGATAATTATTAAAGTTGAAAAAAATGAAGATTCGTATTAGTGGCCACATGAAGTTATCTCAGGCAGTTTAATTAACAATGAAAGACTTTTGGACAATGAATTGTCTTCATCTATTTTAAACTGACCGTACAACATGAAAATTAGCTTTTATAGTTCTTGTTTCTGGAAGAGCTACCGAGTAATTCTTATTGTAAGGTTTGACTGTTTAATCTGACAAAATTCAGTAATCACTCTTTGCTTCCTATTATGTAAGTTTACGTGTATGAGTGGTGCTACATTTCATCCTAATGTGTTTGTGTGTATACGTTTAACATACAGTAATAACTGTACCTCTCCCTAGGCAGCTTTTTCATCCCTATCGCATGAGCCAATTAAAACATTTAGACAAAGAGAGAGAAGGAAAGAGAAATTAACTAGTTAATTTTATTGCATCAGCTCTTTACTACGGAAATGTGTAAAGAGAACTGGCTGAATATCACATTCCAGTCATTGCTAGAATTTCGCTGTTCTTAATTAAACCTATAAGTGAAAAAAGGCTATGTCGAGTAGAATTGAAAGTTGATTTTAGACAATAAATTGTATCCACATGTTTACTTATTCAGCATTATTTAGGTGTAGTCTACTTAATAAGCAGAGAAAACTCCTGGGGAAAAACGCAGCTCTTTCATTTTATACATTTGATTTCATTCAGTAGAATAAACTAAGCGAAACTGGGTAACTAGGTGATCATAAAGAAACGGTAAATTTATTTGGTAAACAATATTGTCAGAGAGAATAGTTGGAGAAAATTAGTTGAACCGACGGAATCGATCGCTCAATGTATTATAACTCGCACTTGAACTAATCATTGAACTTTGCACGCAAAATCTTTTCAACCCCTCTGTCTCACAATACTGATTTGCAGATAACTTTATGATTGCTTCATGATCACTTAATTACATGATTTTGAAGTGTACTCATGTTTAATTTTAATTTTTGGCTTTATCCGCCTTATCCGCAAGCTGTGGCGTGCTGGTTTAGGGAGATAAATTTCAACTAGCGGGTCACAGGTTCAAACAGCACTCCACCCATCAAAGTTCGACTATCCAGGCAGTATCATCAGCCCTTACATAATAGGTGTGGCTCATTGCCTACTTCACGAACGGGCAAAGGTTACTGAGTGAATTCCAATCCCAAAAGAAATCCAAATTATTCGCTTGTATGCAACTGACAAGAATGTGAGGGAGATACGTTGAATCTATTGTATCGTGCAAAGTTGTTAATTCTTCAGTTGTACTTTGTTTGCAGTACTTACTGGTTACCTCATTGGACAGAATTCACTGTAGGCAGTTGCATCTTAGATTTGGGACCTGGTTTATCAGATTTTTAGAAAATTATTTTAAAAGGAACGTGTAGACAAACTGTAAAAAACGGTCTCAAAGCTATGGAGTTATTCTGCTGTGAATATGTGCCGAAAGGTCATTTGGTAAGCACTACCCTTTAACTGCGTAGTCGATCTTATAAACGAAAACTGGACTACACTGTATCATAATGCCAATGTTTCACGCTAATTGTGTCTCGGAATTATTTCTCATGTTTATAGATATCCAAACCAAGTTGAGACTTGATGGTTTGAAAGAATTTGGACATTGCGTTAATGATATTCATTATTTTGTTATTCGTATTTCCCAATAAATGTAAAACGAAATAAATTTCTAACAACTGACATTTCGCTATTCGATGCTGATAGCTTTATCAAAGTTATAATAAACCGGAATTTACAATATCCAAGCTTATATATGATAACTTGACAAATTTTCTTCTGCATGATTGATTCTACGTCATCAAAATTGTAGGATAAAGATTATGTCCACATGTAGTGTGTTGTACGTGAAGAGTGTATGAGATACAGACTGAGGTTTGCATGTACATATGTGTGATAGTTCTTGTCGCATGCATGATGGTTATGTTAGTATGTGGGGTTGGGTTGAGAGCAGGTCAAACTACATTTTACTTCCCTATTCCTATTTAAGTAATTATGATTCCACTTAATGTGAAGAGATTCTGCTATGAGACGTTCTTTATAATTTTTATAGCCTTTCAAAATAACTTTGGTATTGTCATAATCGACCTTGTGACCTGAAATTATAGCATGCAGAGCTATGGCTGATGTGTTTTCAAGTTTTTTTTTCCAGTTTCACTGGATTTCTCCGAGGGTTAAGTGGAAGCTCTTCAGTGTTCATTTTTCCTAATTTTGATTTCACGGGAAGTTAGTCCCATGTATATTGCATCACAGTCTGAGCATTTTGTTTTATAAGCACAAATAGATTGTGAATTTAATGGGTTCTCGTCGTTCAAATGAACTGTGGTGCTCTGTTATGTGTTTGATGTTCTGTAGAACACTCTGATATTGTATCTGTTGAGCACTTTTCTAATTTCATCCGATGTGTATGAACTGTAAGGGATAACTGTTGTTGATGACCATGATTGAGGAGTAGTTTTACGACCTAATTTAATGTTACGTTTCTATTTTACGAATGAATTTTACGGGATAACTACTCATTTTAAGTACCTTGTTCACATATTTTAATTTCTTATCTCTTACATTTTCATCCGTTACTAGGATGTGTGGTCCTCTTAAGAGACTGGAGGCAACAGGAACTTTCGCACTAATTAGATGTTATGAGTTGAAATCTAATTATTTGTTCGAATCCGTTGCTTTCCTGAAAATGGTTATACCTAAATGTCCATTTTCTTTCCGCTTAACAAGACAACCAAGGAAAGGTAGTTCCTTCTTATCCCTTTCTTTTTCTGAGCTGAACTTGATTTTGGAAGATCTAGAGTTCAGCTGATCTAAGAATGCCTGGTGTAAGTCGCGTTTTAAAATTACGAATGTCATCAACATAGACAAATTTTTGTCTTTAATAAATAGGAATGAGGGAGTAAAATGTAGTTTGACCTGCTCTCAACCCAACCCCACATACTAACATAACCATCATGCATGCGACAAGAACTATCACACATATGTACATGCAAACCTCAGTCTGTATCTCATACACTCTTCACGTACAACACACTACATGTGGACATAATCTTTATCCTACAATTTTGATGACGTAGAATCAATCATGCAGAAGAAAATTTGTCAAGTTATCATATATAAGCTTGGATATTGTAAATTCCGGTTTCAAGTTGTTATTCATCGTAGACTGATATCAGTTGGAGGAACAAAGGAAGCCTGGAGCACTGGACAGCTGTTTTGAATACCAAAACAACGAATATTTTCCGTGTTCTTATGGGAACGGTTTTCTTACTTTTTCGCTTTCATTGTATTTCTATCACCATAATGTATTCAATAAAATAACACTAGGTCTACTTACTAAGCTAGAATTGGTCAAAGTAGTCCATCTTCTTACTTCTAACTCGTTATATTAGTTTTTTTTCATAACTTATTCATTATGCTTTATAATGCAGTAGAGAAAACCGATATAAACTTTCTAACTACGTGCCGGTTGAAGTAATTATTACGTGTAATGCCACAAACCGTTATCAACCTCATTCAACAGCAATATGTAGACGCCACATGCCAAGTGATCCACAATGGAAAGCTCAGTGATGCCTTTGAAGTGAAGACAGAAAGGAGTAAGACAACGCTGTCACCTACTATCACTGACGATCTTCCTGATTGTGGTGGACTGGATCATGCAGCAAACCATGAGGAGCGAGAAGGTGGGCATACACTCGCTGGACAGATGAAAAGATGCTAGAAGATTAATATAACGGCGATGATTTATGTCTAATGTCACACAAACTTGAAGATCTACAGGCAAAAACCAACAAGTTGGTGGAAGAGGCAGGGCAGCGAAGATGGGACTTCAGTTGAATGTAGAGAAGACGGAGGTGATGAAGATACCCAACGAACAACATCAACGAGAGACATGAATGTCCATGAACGGGAGAAGCCTAAAGGGAGTAGTCTCTTTCACCTACCTAGACAGGGCAGCATCGTTTCAACTACAGGTGGGACAGACGAGTATATCAAAACCAGGATTGGAAAGACAGCAAGACAGGCTTTCACTAATCTGAAATGAGTGTGGAGATGTACTGCAGTCAGCATGTGGAAGAAGATCCGGATTCTCAACATTAATGTTAGTGAAGTCAGTGCTGCTGTATGGTTCAGAAGCTTAGTGTGTCACGAAAAGCACTTGCAACAAACTACACACATTCATTAGCTGCTGCCTAGGCTACGCTTGCTGGATACTGAAGAAGAGGTGGATGGCCAGAAAGAATAAGCAACAATGAACTGTGGCTGGGAACGAACCAACGGAGAATCTATCACCCAAGAAGAATGCAGAGGAAGAAAGTGGAGATGGATTGTGCATACACTGAGAAGGCGGATTGGGGACATCACGTGCCAGGTCAGTCGCTGTAGTGGAATGCAAAGGTGGAACGACGAGTTGGTCGTCTGAGATGATGGTGACATGTAGGAGATGGTGTGAAGTATAAATGAAATCTTGTGGGCAGTCGTGGCGCCATGTTGAAAAGACTGCAGAGAAGAGAGTGGAATGGTGAAGTGTTACTGAAGCCCTATGTTTCACTAGGAACCCAAAGGAAAAATACAAATAATGTTTCAATTGATTATTTACAGTTATTGATTACTGAAGATGTAATAATGGAAGAAATACTTGAATACTGTGGGAATGCTTACTACTCGGTATGTGCTAGTAGTAGTCTAACAGATGACTATTCAAGAAATCTTTGCATAAATGCTGTTATTTTCAAAATGAGTGGATCTCTGAAGACGGAACATGTGGCAGTTAAAATGTTTTATTCTGTAAAACGAGACACCTGCATATTGACAGCATTTCTAACGAAATAGCTGGTATTGGTTGTTATTTTTAGTGCCTTGTAATAGTGAAGCAAAACAGTTGAAGTTCATGAACTGACTAACTATTTTTGGCCTAGATTGAACTGGTTTATGATCGGCAAACTATAACCAGAATTCAGTTGACTGTTAAATTTGTGTTAGTCAAACTATAGACAACTATAAGACTAAAACACTTTTTCGATCATACACTTAACTGGATTATACAACCATAAATTGATGCTTTGAGTTGCAACAGTTAGAAGTTTCCTTTAGCAAGTGACAAGTTCATTGTGTTCCATTTTATCATCAGTTCGACGTCGCTTAAAGCAGTTGAATAAAATGGATATGTTCTTCTTTCCATAGCTTCTACTAAGTAATTAACCACACTCAACTGTTCATATGACAATGAGAATGAATGGTGCTTTAGCCATATTTAACAATATTTGATAAAAGGATTATTTTTCAACAAATCATCTTATCGCGATCAGATCTCTTTTGCATATTTACAGTTAAAGAAGATTTAAGTACGACGTATCTTGCTTCTATCTTCTATTTACCAGAATTTACTTCAGTGTTATTATCGATGGGTAGGTGCATGATTTAGTAGTAGAGGCCATATTGGTCAAAGGTAGGGTAGCACCAATTGCAATGCGTTATACTACTGTTAAAGTGTCTACATGGATGCGAAACTCTCATTTGACTTTATTTTTAATTTACAATGCTTATTGTATCAGCAAATGTTTATTATGGGTCTAGTATGCTGAGAACTAGTGCATTCTATCTTACTATACATCTGTGAGACAAACTCACTGAAGTTTACTGCAGGCCTTCTTTCATATATGCCTTGAACTAACTGCTTGCTTATGGCAGAAGAGTTGCTGAGTAAACAGTTTTATCACTAAACGTCGAATACTCAGTAAAGCTGGCGAAAAACCTGAATTAGTTGACATGATGATCACATATGTTTAACATGGTTAAGGTTCGTTGAAAACCTAAGATTACATCGTTTTACACATATCTGAGTAATGCACATGCGTTCATACTCCATAACCTGGTTATGCTATTATTCTCTCCCGTTTATATTGATTATCTTAATCGTATTACTTACCTTTCAGAATTTGTTCACTACTATTTATATTATTGTTTTCATTTTTTTTTACAATCATTTTACTGGTGCTAGGATAGAGTTATTGATGGTGAACTAATTCATAGAATATATTTCTGACCTCGAATTATTATTTTCTAAATACTTTTGTAGGAATTTTCTGTGTATTGAAAAACATTCATACCTATTGCCAGATTGTATTCATTCGATAGCATATTAATTTTTAATTCAGTTAATTTCATCTGATAATGAATGGATTTTGAGAGTTGTAGATTGTTAATGCAAGATATGGACCATGCTATTTATCCACTGTACTATATACATCAGCTTGTATAAAAACAGTAAACATGTTACTAGTCTGTTTAGATATCTTAGTTACCACATCATAAGTATATGTATGTACCGATTGGTCCCCGAAGAGTAGTTGGTTTCATCTTATCTAGGCCTAAGTGCTAACCGAATTCTGTCGATCATGTCACAATGTTATAATTGGGCTAAATGACTCATCATCATGTTGTTAGTTGGCTGGAATTAATCGACAGTAAAGTTGAATACCTCAGTGATAAGGTCTCTGACTGACTAACCGTTACATATTTCTGCCTGATATTATATTTATAATACTTATCTGTATGACCTCTAGGAAGAAAAAGAGAAGAATGCAAAAGACATACAGTACGTATTCACTACTCACATAATTGAACTAAATTGTTCTCAACATGTTACGTCTGGTGATTATTAACAACACTTCCATCATTCTAAATATGAAATAATGAAACAGTTTATTGTATGCCATTAAGTACAATTTGTAACGCACTATGAATAAATTTAGTTTCTCTATACATTACTCTGAAATCAAGTAACTTCTAGGTTAATTGCACCATTTCTCAGTTGAGGCACTACAAATATTGATTTATTGACATAACTTACATCTGCTTTTACCCATTTCATAGAAGATGAAGGAGATATACGGAATCTAGTGAAATTGTATGTCAGATGTTACATGACTTCTCATAGCTTACAAGAATATATTCATGAACTACAGTTATATATATATAACACCTTATTTGGAGTAAACTGGTCCACGCAAATCAGCTAGCCAGATTCAGCTGGTCTGATCAGTTTGGGGCTGTTAGCTGAATTTGTTCGGGCTCACCGCTTATGAGCGCCGCTCCAGGCGACGGAGCGAAACTGTCGTTCGGTGTTCTGACCACTCTGATCTGGTTAGCGGAATCTACAGATCGGCTTGAGTAGTTTCTAACTACTCAAGTTGCTCAGCAGTGTATTTCGTTAGTTCATGATACTTTTTTCGTTTCAGAGATCACACCTTATGATCTTGGCTGTATGGTTTCCAACGGGAACCCTGTTGACATTACAGTTGGGTAGTTGGAAAATTACTTAGCTGTGAGAAAGATCAAGTTGAACCATTCAGTTTGTTATTAACCTGCAAATTGATCAACATGCGAAACACTTTGCTCATACTAGCATTTTCTTTGCAAGTATCAGTAAGTAACTGAGAACAGAATGACTACTAACTCTAATGTTATCGAGTCCCTTAAATAACGGTTCGTTTAAACTTGCCATATAAGCTTTTTAAGTGAATTATGATGTCCCTATTATTCTACATATTCAAAGTTTAATCAATGATTCATCAATATTTTCACGAATTGGTCATTGAGTGGTAAGTAACGTAGCTGCGATTACCGGTTGCGGTTTGTTGATCAAGTGAGAAATGTGACCACTAAGCCTTGAAATGATGTTTCAGTACACCGTGTCTGGATTCAAGATGTAAAGTATTAATCGGCAAAAAGTTGTGTACTTGAATTTCGCATTTATCAGCCATAACCGAGAATGAACAGATAGAAACATTGCTCACTTACCGGGTAGCCGATTGTTGTGATATGATCATCTTCAGTGTCAGTGAGACTCTAACACTGAGTGATGCAGGTTCACTTCCAAAGACTGAAGATAGGCATCTTAGCCAAATGCCGACTAATTCAGCGTCTTCTACCAATTGACTCTTACCATCTAGCCTGTTTTATTTTCCTTCACTCTAATCACTGCCTACCCCTACTACTTCTTTTTACAATTATCAACCTTCCGCACCTTCACTTCGTATGTTGAAGTCTTTGATTCCGTTTCTGTTCCTTGGTTTTTGTTTCTTAAGTCTCCATATCCCTAACCATGCACTTACGGTTAAAAGTCCAGAAACTTTTGAAATAATCCAATTCTTAGCTTGCTTTAAATGATCCTGTTACATCACTCAACAAGGTGACTTTCAGTGAACCACTTTGTTTTAAGCAAGTCTTCATCACAGATTCATGCAAACTGGGAAACTCTTTAAAAGGAGATAGCATTTATCTGTTATTATTTTCGGATTCCTCAATAGTGTTATTTGGTTTAATTCGTTTTTGACTAATCGATGTCAACTCACCCATGGAATATTATTCTTTTATTACTTTCTCTTTGGAGGTTTTTTTTAGGGGATTAGGCTGTCGTCACGGTCCGATATTAGCCAGATGACCATTGAAAACTTGGAGCCAATTACAGCTCTTTCGTTCTAGTTTAGGACTCCTCATCAGTGCGCACCTGAAATCCTGAAGAGCATTGAAACCATAACTGTCAGGTCTGTCGGTGAGGACGTGACTAAAAGCACTAGGAGTGAAATGCAATAGCCCACGTTTTCTGAAATCTGTCAATTTAAGACAGCACAATCATTGTGAGATGATCTTGGTTTCGATATCTCACAGGGTCTTCAACGCGCAGTGTTGAGGAGTCCAAACTCGGAAGGTACATCTCTTCAATGTTCTTGAGCTTAAAGTGGTTCTCTTCGTGTAGTCGGTCCGTAATCAAATACATTTGAAGTCTTCTTAATTTGCTTGCTTACATAACTCATGAATTATTACCCATCACCCATGTTTACTTTTTATTCTTTGAGTACCTTCGTACTGCAATAGAGATTTGTAAATTTGCTACCTTTTGTATTTATAGTCTATCTGTTGTCTACCGTGGAATCTTTTTAAAGACTAAACAGTTGAAGTGTGTTCTTCCTGTATTTATTGGTCATAATACTCTCATTGTAATGTCGGGTTGTCTACGAATCTTAGGAATCTTTGAGATAAAATGAATTCTTTTAGTTCTAAGAAGTTTGGTGCATTTTTGCTGCTCTCAAGCAAATATTTTGGAACATATCAGTTCAACAAATTGTATAGATGCTGTTTTTTTTCTAATGACAATATTTCTAGGGTCAATTGCTTACACTCAAAATGAAGTTGGATACATTTGAAGTTCGCACGAAATCCCAACTTTTGCCAGATCATACTCATCATACAGAGATTATAAACTCCTTTGGTCGTGAGTTATTACGTGAGGAAATGATTGCTTATAAATCTAATCCTGGGATCAATAAACAACTCACTTTACGCCTTATGGGTATGTTTTCAGTTAATGTGTATTTTTACAACAGGTAAATAAAATAAACTCCTGTGAAATTCTCTGAAGGTTTAGTTTGCTTACCAAATTAAACTGTAATATATTTTGAAGTTATTTCAAAGCTACTGGTGCTTATTACATATATTCTACGTCGAAGAAGTTACCTTTGCATTTTTAACAACTTGAACTCACATTATGAACCTAAGTGGTCAATAGTACAAACAGTTTTAAAAGGCATGTGTAGTAGGATCTATTGTATCAGTAGAACAGATTTGATGGGTGAAGACATCAAATCACTAAAACACTTATGGAAAATAGATATCCGATGAAGTTTATAAACCTTTTTAGAGGTCAAGTAGCACTGAATCCAACTCTACTCATGGTTCCTAAGAAAAGCATCCATATCACTCTACCATACAGAGAGGAGTCGAATAGTATCATTTTGAGACGTAGGCTGACATCAGCCTTTAAGAAAACATATTACGCAGCTAATCTTATCATTGTGGAAAAAGCAAAACACATGCTTCACCATAAATCTAAACACTGCATCAATGATTACACCACATCGCATTGTCTTTACTAATTTACAGGTTTGTATGGTCACACATACATTGGGAAGAGTAATCCCATCATGCAGTTGAGGGTGGGAGAACATGCGCCTAAATGGCTTCAAAAACAAATGGAGTGTGAAACCGTGATAAACGCTGGTGGGAAACGACCCTCTTCATCTATAGCTAAACATATCATAGGAATAGGTCACAAAATTACTGTTCAAATAGATTTCTAAGTTTTATATAGAAATAGTCAGAGACGTATACTGAGATTTGCAGGAGTGATATCCATACATAAATTGAAACCACCTTTATGTGTACAAAAACAATTTGTTCTTACTCTGCACCTAACTTGTTAAACTTTGTTTTCTTACCGAGATTAGGAACAACTGAGTCACTTTCTGTTTGTTCTCACCTTTCTTAATTTTATTCCTGTATTATATTAACTGTTGTACTTGTCATCCCATTCTTCGGTCTAATATATCTTAACTAAACAATTGAAACATGCTCAGAAATGAACTAACATTGTCGCTTAGTCGGTCACATAGGGTTGTATTCTTAGCAGGCAATCGGAAGTTCTCATACTTTATTCACTAAGATATCTGTTCATGAATAAAAGACCTGAAACAAATTGATTATCACAGAGCATATGTGACTCAGTACACTGTTATTATCATATCCATAGGTAAAATTAAGTATTATTGATATTTTTGATAGTATTGTTTTCCAAGCTGGATAGTTTAATCATGAAGCTTTTATTGCCATTCTAGACATCATCAGCGCGAACTTCAGAAAGAAGTGGGCTATGTGGTTTTCTCCCCAAGTGACTTCGATAATCTCATAATTCACTTCTTTCTGAAGTTTGTGCTGATGATGTTGTCTAGAACGACAATAAAAGGTTCACGATTAAACTATTCATCTTGGAGAACTCAACGTCGTCCTCATGAGCTACGAATAATCCCCACTATCGCAAATCTTTGGAAAATAATGAAAATCAGCATGCTCCAATCAAATTTAAGGCTGATAATGAGTTATTTTACTTATAAACTGAACACAATAATGAAGCTAATTTATATGAACCCTTGTGATGAGATATCACATCACCCTCTCATTTATGAATACCTTCTTCATGGTTTCTGTTTCTAAGAGATTATACTGCTTGGGGATTCTTTGTTTTGTTCACTTAGAGAGGGTCTGCGGGACAAGAGGAACTAGTGGTTGGAGACTGTAGGTGATATGGCTCAGAACCGATGTCAGTGGCGCAGATGTATAAATACATTATCCTCATCTTAGCGACGCTATACTGAATCTGACCACTTTCTCACTCTTCGTTTCTGTTTTTTCGTACTTTATATTTCTTCTGGCTGAATTTTCTTATCTCCATCTTGCGCCTCACTACCTTTTTACTTGATGTATTGATATGAGGTGTGGCAACTCCGGACCGTTACGCAGTAATGCCTGGTCCTATATTGATATTGATGATGATGATGATCACTTTGAGAAGTTTGAGGTTTTCATCCTGTTTATAATAGGCGTTTCCCGTAAGATTGACAGTTTAAGCAGTGAATCGTTTCATGCTGATTAAGAGTGAATTCCTTACCTAATTATTTATTTCAAAGTTTTACTCGAGCGGTGTATGAGGAAGCGTTTAAGTTCAATATAGCTTCCACTCTGAACTGATATCAATCGCATGACTTCTTATAGGATCGAACCTAGTAATTGGAATGGAAACAGTGGTTCATGTTTTCTGACCTCTCAGTACTCAATTTAGTGTGACTATCGTCCAGTGCTATAAAAAGGCATTCTTCTTTACACTATCGGTTTGGTGCCATAGGTAATGACTTTACATTAAAACTTCGGTAAGTGTTTCCGAAAGTCGGTGACAAGTGAACACTAAATAGCTACTGTTCATCTGATTATTTCGTGGAATATGGATTGACATCATAGTTTCACACTACTTGAAAGTTCTAAGTGAGAAAATGCATCGACCCAATGTTTACTGGTTTTTAACAGTTTCACGGTAAAATCTACATTCTGCATTGCTTTCATATCAGTGTGCTGGTGGTTATTCTTTTGTTTCTTTATCATTTTAGGTTTACGTATGTCTAATCTACTACCTGTTGAAATGTGTTCACATATTCGTCAGCGTAGTGTAGAAGAAGCTTTTATGCATGCACTGACAACCAGCAGTAATTGTATAAGTCCTGTAAAACCAGTAAATTCTGATATTCTCACTAAGGATGTAATACAGAATAAAACATCTACTCAACTAAATAAAGCACATATTGTTAAACCTTCATCTAAGTTGAAACAATCTACAAAAAGCAAATCAAAAAAATTGAAGCAGTCTAATAAGAAAACAGAAAGAAAATCGAAATCTTCATGTAGTTCTGTATCTTCATCACCATTGGTAAGATTTGATAGAAAAAGTTCATTTGAACATTATCTTTTACAATTCTCAAACATACGGCTATATACTCATCATGTAGGTGAGTGGTTCCATGCACCAAATAGTAACACATATGTAACCTTTCAATAAAACCGTCGAAAACGTTGTTGCCAGACTAAGACTATCTAAAAAATCTGATTTATTTACACAATACGTTTCGAACAATCTGATCACAAATTTATTTGTCAATTCAATTTACATATGAAAATCTAAAAATGAAAGGTCAAATACAATGAATATGAAAAGGTTGTGACACTAGTCTGGATAGTGAGAGCAAATTTATGATAGATATACTTATGGAAAATGGATATTCGTTACACTTTCTAAACCGTTGTAGAAAACAGCCCTAAAGCCTCTAATTTTGTCGGCTCCGAAGAAGGATTTTTTTCTTAAAGTTCTACACAGAGGGAAAACGAGTAGTATGATGTTGAAACAGAGAGTAAAATTTGTCATCAGTAAAACATACTATGTAGCTCAGCTTATCATCGTTGGGACGAGAAAACACCTACTCCACCATAAACCTCAACCTTGCATAAACAATTATGTTATATTCCATGGTGTGGGCACACATACGTAGGGAGGAGTAATCGTGCTATGCTATGGGTGAACATATACTTAAATGGCTTGAAAAACAATTTAATATACAAACTTTGATATTAGAATATATCATCGAAATCAATCATAAGGTTAATATTGAGACAGCATTCAAGATATTACATAGAAACAGTCAGGGGCGCATACTGAAATTCTTTGAAGCGTTAGCCATTTGTAAACTTAAGCCCTCGTTATGTGAACAAAAAATATTTGTCGTTTGACTTTACCTTGGTAACCTTTATGTGCTTATACTACCGAGACTAGTGTAACAACCTTTCATATACATCATATTTGACCTTTAATTTTTTGTATTTTCATGTGTAAATTGACTTGACAAGTGAATGTGTGATCAGATTGTTCGAAAAGTATTGCGCAAACGCACCACATTTTTCAGATAGTCTTCTAATAGTGTTATTCAATTTTGTTAAAGGGACTAATTATTCCAAATAAAACCATCATTTTCATTTCGGTTCTGGTTTACGATTCATATACATATAAATATCAAATGTGCTAGTTTTGCAGTTTTACAGTCTACAGTTTGACGAATTTACTGACAATGTAAATACGAACGATGCGTTTGTGATTGTCAAATATCAATAATAACTCGTAAGGAGCTAATTAGCTAGTCCAACTATTTCAATTACATCCACTCAACTACAGTCCACAAGGAACTCTGGGAACGAACCAACCAAGAAGCTATCACGCAACAAATATGCAGGAGGAAGTGGAGATGGATTGGCCATGCACTGAGAAGGCCGACTGAGGACATCACGCGTCAGGCCCTCGAGTGGAATCCCCATGGGAAGCGACGAGTTGGACGTCCGAGGGTGACATGGAGGAGGTCATGCGAGGAGGAAATGAGAGCTTCTGGGCTGTCGTGGAACCAGGTTCAAAAGATCTCAGAGAACAGAGGTCACTGGAGGCGTGCTACTGAAGCCCTATGTTCCACTAGGAACCCAAGGGACTAATAATAATAATAATAACTACAGTCCGCTGACCCACTCACCAGATCGATTAGGCAACATTAAAATGTTACACTATTAAGGATGCAGTGCAGTACGCAGCAGTTGATTTATGCTGCAGAACACAAGAAGACTGCATACAAAGAGCCTTTCATATACAGTGAAGATGTAGTGTAGGCAAAGTCGAGCTTGTATTGAACCTTAAGTAAGAGGTCAGTCACTCGACAAGACTGTTAGTATGTATTAACTGAGATAGTTGAAATAAGTGTTGCACAACACTTCACTATCTACCTCGGTACGCTATTTAGGCTGGATTAAAGCTAAGGGATGATGATCAAACGTAGCTATCTCATCAACGCGTGCATTTTCTGCCTATCAGTCTAAGCCGTGCAGTTTTGAGGACCGTGGAGACAACCGAAACAAATAGTGATGTGGTACAAAATGGATCACAATGGTACAGATGCACTTATATGAAGTTCCAACCTTTGTTTCACATTTTATTTGCATTACCCCTTTTTTCTTATCATACTTTATAATCTTGTTATTTTCACTTCTTCATCTTCTGTCCTATCGCGCTTTACTTCGATGTACAAATTTGAGGTGTGACAACTCAAATTGTTTCACAATAATATCAAGTCTCGTATCGATGCTGTCCGCTTTCCTATTTAACAGCTATGTACTGAAATGTATAAGAGACAAAAGATGTAGCTCCACCCATTCAGTAATAGCCAGCTATAATGTTCTTTAGTAAAACTAATCTTTCTCTGAGAAGATAAAACATAATTACTTACAAATGCTGGAATACATGCAATCTTATGGCATTTTTTTCAGTAATCTGTTGTTCTGTGGTAAACTTCACTTACATGTCTTTGAGTGAAAATTAAAAATGCGGTTGAGATTGCCTTTGAGGAGGTTTCATTAATTTTCAGTTCTTTTACCCTTTCAACTGAGAAATGAACGCAAAACTAATTAGTGGTTGCAAACAGCTGACAAGATATCACCTAAATAGAATGCATCCGTTTTATACTAATGTAATTGTAGCTGTTTCTTTGTGTAAGCTCGTAAAGTGGAATTTAAAATAACCTTTATGTGTAATAAGCTCAATATTCAAAAAGTGGTTGATATAAGCGTTTCAGAAAGTGTAGTCATTTGGTAAATAAAATTTTAGTCGATCAAATGTATAGATTATCTGTTTGTCTTTTAAGCAGATGGTGTCATTATGTCTGTCTTTATTTGAACTGCTATAATTAATAGTCCGGAATCACACAGTACACTTGTTTCTATACTTTCCTCTCAAATGTGTAAATTCCGATACTATTAGTTAGCCTAACTATATAGAATAACCTGGGCTTTAATAGACGAGAGGTGCCTTACCCTTCTGTCTTCTTCGGTTTTCTACATCACTACACTTGTTATTGGCCTGCTGCTGATATAATCATGTCATAGACATGTGATATTCGACTGGGAGTTGCTTGCTACAAGGTGTGTATACAACACAACAGTGCGTTTGTTTGTGCCATAACACTGTAGTATAAGATTCCTAAAGTCTATAGAATACGCACTTAGTTTTCTAGTTGTTGATGTACGTAAAGCCAGTGATTGACCCTTCTTTAGATCAAGTTTATGTTACAGGTGGGATAAAAAATTTATTCCTTGATGTCAATTAGGCACCACATGCTGTTTTTATCTTCACAATTGTTGTTCGGTTACTTCAAATATGTTTCGTTTCATTCCTTTTTATTGCGTTTTAAAAAATGCTCACGAAATGGTTACTAGATTTGATTGTTTGTGTGTTCTGCGAGTAGGACAGGATAATGACTAGAAGTCATCGAATACCACTGGAAAAGCGTTTCAGATGCATTCCACAACCGTAGATGATGTCAAATTAGTGCTTTGGCTGAAGGTTCTATTCTTTTCAAAAGCATAGTACAAGAAAACCAACAGGTCAGAAAGACTTGGATGAATGTAAAAGGGATAGGTTTTGAATAAACAAAGGTTTAAGATTTTGAGAGCGGAAGAGTGACTAATTCCTAGCCATGCCATATAAAATGTATGATGACAAACTTATTGTCTGCAGTTCGCCACAAAATCTATACTACTTTTCATTGATTCGTGTTCTGCTTTGGCTTAAACTTTTTGAGACTTTCACTCTTACTGTCCTACTCCGCCTATTGTGCGTTATGATTGAGTTGTCTAGGGATTTCATTACTAACGAGTGACTTATTAACTGAAAGTCACATTACCTTCTTTGACTTCGATAACCGAGTGTTATCATATCGCAAAGATTGGGTGAAGCTCATATTCTACCTTACGAATCGATCACCAGATAGTCCTGTTCATTTGTAGCCCCAATAATGTACTGATAAACTCTTCAAATTCGGACCTGAACCTCCTAGCAGTGGACTCCTGTCAGTTTAATCTTTCATACATGTGGAAGATTGTTTGATTCGGCAACGTACTAAGGGACACTTTGTAAACAAACTAGGTTATCTGCGTAGTTTCTTTCTTCGCAACAACTTACGTACATACTTCTTCAAAGTTGTCTGTAGTAGCTTAGTATATTTCCTGAATCATCGAATGAAATGTAAGAGCTTGTTTGTTTTATAAATAGGAATATATCTCTCCTATAATTATTGTTAACTACAATTTAATTATCATTAGTGTTAGTATAATTGTACTTTAGGCATAGTATGTCCGTAAACTAGATCGCATTTAAACTAGGCGGACAAGGATTTCAAATACTTGACGTCTTCTGAAATGTAATATATGCACTGGTAGAGTATACAACTTTTTCAAAATAAAAGTATTGCTAATTGACAGTTAGTAATTGCCAGCTGTTAACGTTTAAATACTTTATTTCACTACTGTTAAGTTTACTTCAAGCACAATTTTGTGCATCATGGGTGCCAAGAAATACATCACTAAAGGTAATGAACCTAAAGAGGGTTAAAAACACATATTCATGAACGGAAAAGTAACAATCGCACATTCACAAGCCATCATTACTGTTGTATTGTGTTACACCAATGAAAGGTACGAGATTCTCATTTGGTTCAATATGCAGTGAACGTCCTGTCTGTTTCAGTTGGTTAAAATGATCAAATTTGTGAACAAGTATGTTTAAAAATATTCATTGTTTGCTTCAGTTCTAAGTTGTGTCTGATATCATCACAAGTCTTTCAGCTATATGATCTCTTGAACCTCACCTAAGATGTGAAGTATCATCACGTCTTAAGTATTCTTCATCTCAAGGTCCCCACATCAAAAACTGACCATCTTTTTGATTCTTCCATTCGACCACAAAGCCAACAAGCAATGACCTGTGCAGAAATAACCCTTGAGAAAAATTGGAAGGTTTTCGTTAGGCGTTTCATATTTTCCCGTTGATGTGACTCACTTCCTGGGGTGAAGTCACTACTCATTTTGTTGCAAATTAATGAAAGAAGCATCATCTACAAAAGTCGCTGTGTTTTGGCTAGGTACACTTGTAGATTCGTACAACCTTTTCCGGTTGTAATTCATCATGGACTGACACTGGTTGGAGAAAGATCGGAAAAGTGGGAGCACCTGATAGCTGTTTTGTCCTAGTATGAAACTCCTCATCAATGTGTACCTGTGACCGTGCCGGGGGTTGGAGCCAGGACCTTTGGGTTCCTCGGTCAGCACGTTACCAGTGAGCCACTGGATTGGAATCCAATAGTCCATATTTCCCACATCTGTCAGTTCACGATAATTTTTTTCAACATATATCACATGAAACAGTATTATTTGCCAATGACGTTTCTAGCTAAATGTTTACTACCAATTAAACCAAAGAAAGAAAGACAATGGTACCATAAAAACTAGACCAGAAATTTGTGTGACCACTTTGATATGACATGAGCAGTAAATTCTGTTGGAAATGATACCTAGTAATCGATACTACTACACTCTATGATGCGTATGAAAAAATAACTATGGAACTACACTCTACCACAGTGTCCATATTCTGTTCTCATATTAATAACGCATTTTATTCTGCTCATGCCTCTTAGCAGTATGTTCATCTTCGAATTTTTCATATATGTGCTGTAACTTGACGCATTCTATTTCTCTGATTTTTGTTTACTATTTACTTAAGAAACGAGTTGTAATGATGCAATAGACAACATACAGTTGATATTTCTCAGTTATATAATAAATTTAACAGTCTATTTTATAGTTGTTGTCTGTGCTCCCTCGTTTTAGCTCACCAAATGGACTAAAACATCTCTACTGATGACAAATAATCAAAGTGGTCCATCGCATGTGTCTGTTTCATTGAATTCATGCACTGATTCATTACCATCGACATCATCATCTAATGGCAACGTTTGCAATTGTTTCACTTGTCCTGTTTGTGAACGAAAACTTCAGTTTACATCAGAAGAAAAAGTTAGTTTGCAAAAGCATTTCAATTAATTTACTGTTAGCCAAGTATATATGATGAAATAAATACCTAACGAATATGTGTGGCATACTTCAATAGTCAACAGTTGCATCTCTCCATTACTGACCGATTTCTGTTTACAACCCAGTTTTGTAGAGGATCATTTAGTGACTGAATGGGTTACTAGTCAGTCTTCCTACTTAGGAACTGAATGGTGCTAGTTCATACCTTTGAAAAGGACTGAACTTCTTTCCCTTTAAAGATATGTCCATAGGAAAATGCTGGAGATCAAGGTCAGTGAAGGATTCTTGCTGAGTCCCAACACTAAAATGTTGAAAATTTAACGAAACAATCTTTTATTACTTTCATATTGTGGCATAAGTTTGAATATTTTTGGTTTTCTAAGTTATGCACATTGTTTGTACATAGTTCAATGAAGTGATTAAAAAAATTACAGAGTAAAGGTAAGATAAACTGAGTAACGTCGCCAAGTCATGTATTATGACAAAGTGTTGTGCTTTTTCAGATGTCTGTTTAATTAATTAGTTTCATTTGGATTCTAGCCAAAAATGTGTTGTTTTTGTCGTTTAGAGTTTGTGTCGTGCCTCAGTATACTAGAACAAGGTGTCTTTTGTGATTAAACTGATTAGGAAAGTTATCAGACTCAATTTCTGGTGAAAGCATGTTGTTATGTAATAATTATAACACTAATAATAATAATAATGAACGTGAAGCACGCTTACCATTTTCACAAGAAGTGAATTATTGTTCAGCTGGTGGTGACAGCGGTGAAGAAAATAACGATACTTTTTTCGGCTTCTACATACGCTTTATAAATCTGTGCCATATTCCAGGGTATTTATTAGTTAATTATCACTAATAAATGGTTGTTTAAATGTCTACAGCTAATTGTGATATTCTTCCCTATCAAACGATTTTTAGAATTTGAAACAGTTAGTCTCTTTTATGAATTTCAATAGTGTAATTAGAAGACGAAGTTTATCTGAACAATGTGATGTATTTGTGCAATTCACATTGTTTAGGTAAAATTCGTCTTCTAATTACGCTATCGGGATTTTGAGAATGAAAAGATCTATAGATCTCAAAATATTCTGAATTCTTACCTTGATGAGTGTAATTAATACTGGCTGCTTGTAAATTTGAACGTTGTTGTTGTGCACTGTTATTAGCTTTATCTTTGAACACTGATTCTAATGATGGAGAATATTTGTAGCTCAAATGGATGATAGTGGTGGTGATGCATTGTCTAAGCTGGGTATCTCAATCATGAAGCTTTCTTTATCTTCCTAGACAGTATTATCAGACCTTACATGAATGTAAAGTGAGCTATTAAGATTTTTGCGTGAATGATTCAGCAGCCTGTGCTGACAAAGTGACATGTGACTGGCAGTTTCATTTGATCATTCTGCCATTGATTTCATTGAATTTCATATTTGTTGTTTGCACACTTGACGCTCGATGTTGTTATCATTTTTCATTTTTCTAATTAGTTGATAGATTGGGTCTGTGTCTCTAAACCTCTTCATTACTGACTGAGTGTTCAGCTTCCAAGAATTTCTAGGTATTCTTTGTAGTTCTTCCGAACAAGGTGTCTACATTTTCAAAGTCAAACTGTTGTCAACAATTATCCATATGTAAGGATACGTAGAGAATTCCATTACCATTGAAACCAAGAAATCATACGTGATAGAATTTTAAAAACCATTCGTCAGAAGTTGTTTGACTACCTTGAATAAACTATAAATTTGTATATACCTATGTGAAAATCTGTCAGATAACTTAGGTTTTCAGATGGTGTTCGTAGGCTCCAATAAAATCCATAAGATGGTCATTTTTTTGAGGTATTTTCATCGTCTGATCATTATTCGCAGCTCCATCTTTTTAATGTGGACTATCAACTCACCAACAGTTTATTCATTAAATGATACCTTGTGTGACTTCATTGTAAATAATTGATTGGTTGTTATGATAAGACATGATACCTCAAAGTAGTTGATAGAATGTTATTTTAGGGATCGTCTAGTTGTAAGCAGAAATACTTTCTTACTACCAAATGTGAAAGCCTCATACTTCTTACCTTCTAATTGCTAGATGTACACTCAAACTGTTCAAGTTGGATATTAAATTAGCTGTTGAACTTTCTGATAGTTAGGACACAGTCAACATTATTCTTATACTTAAGCATGAGTTTGATTGCAGATGCTTAAAATAAACCTTTATCATCTTAAAATGTTGCACTTGACTTGTATAACTGACACTTTTTTAGCCTTGCCACTAAATAAAAGTGATTGTTTTCATCATACTATTGATTTAACTGCAATCATTTCTTTCCGGTTTATAATTTCAACGATTTTGTTTCTTTCCATGCTAACAGTTTAATTACCATTTGGATGAGTGCTTAAATAGATCAGCTGTTTTAGAAGCAGTCAAAGAATCATTGACTGACTATCCTTCATGTGAAGTCAATCCATTATCTGTTACTTCACAATCTCCCCGCCTGATTGGTGAGAAAAGTACATTAACAGCTGATAATTGTACACGGCAAGTTGTTTTCGTTTGGTTGATTAACTGGAATTAATAAATTGTGGTATTGATGCTACATTTTAATGCAACTTTACTGATAGTGAACTAGTTGGATAAACCTAATTGTTTTATTTGCAGTCTACCCAAGTCTTTCTCATAGTAATGTGTCCTGTCACTGTTATATGCAGTGAAGAATGAAGAAAATCAACACATAACAAGAAAGTAAATAGGAAATGAACTAAAAAATTCCGAGCCAGTGGAGATTCGTAGAATTCGAAATTAAATTTTTCGCATTTTCAGGAGCATTGTGAGTGGTTTAATCTGCATCATAGAGACTGATTTTTGAACTTTTTCACCGAATGTACGTTGACGCAAACTTATGATACCAAAATCCCTCTAATATCCGTTTGACCCGCAAAACGCGGTCCATGGTCGAATAAATTAACTCAGCATCTTAGCTTCCCTCATACAACTAATCCAGTTAATATCATGTCTATGCATACTCTACATTTGTTCAGATCATATTCAAGGTACGTGAGCAATATTATGAGGCCTTCTGCCTTATTCTCCTAAAAGCGCATAACCATCGATGGTTAAGTATTCGAAATGTTGAAATTTCGTTCGTTGTTGGATGCATTTATCTCTGTTATTCCTCACTTCTCTAACTCCACAGTTAATATTTGATGTTTAGTGCTTAGCCAGATCTCTTGCTGGTGCTGCTAGTTGTAAATAATGATCTGTGGCAAAATTCAGTTGCAGTTAGGGTCATTGTAACCTTTTGTAGAAACCGAATGCCATTATATATGTATTCATTCCACTCAATTCTCTCGGACATCTGTAAATGAATGTGTATCGGTTCAAGTTGTCCACAGGTTCTTGTGCCCAATAGCCCAGTGGATAAAGGTTTGGCGTTCGAAGTGATAGGTTACTGGGCTTAAGTCTTAATAGGAACAACACCACTCACTAGGGCGTAGTTGTATCCAGCTGACGAGTCCCAAATAGGGCGAAGCGCGCCTCTTGGATTCCACTGCTAGATGGATGTAAGAAAAGGTTCCGCAGTCATGGCTTGAACTCTTGAATTGTAATACTGAAGCGATGTCCTCTTGGATGGCTTGA